AAATCACGAGCTTGGAAAAGAGTGGCTCGTCGGTGTTTTCGATCGCTTTACTAAGGCAAAAGCTCGAAACGGTCGTGATTATCGCCTTCTCATTACCGACGGCCACTCTAGCCATGTTAATATGGACTTTCTGGAGTGGTGTGACCAGCACCGGATTATCGTTGCGGTGTTTCCCCCCCATTCCACGCATCGGCTGCAACCCTTGGACGTGTCGCTATTCAGCCCCCTTTCGACCGCATACTCAAATCAGCTTATCCAGTGGACAGCAAAAACACAAGGCCTTATTGGCCTATCGAAACGTGAGTTCTGGACTTTATTTTGGAACGCATTTGAGACTTCCTTCTCTTCCGAGAACATTGCGAGTGGGTGGAAACGGACTGGTCTCCTGCCTTTTGACCCAGAAGTGGTCCTATCGCAGATCACTGAGAAAAAAGATGATGATTCGAATACGGGTAGCGACTCGGCAGAATCACTAGCCCTTCAGCAACCTACGGCCCGAGATTTACGCCGACTTATTGACAAAGTAGTCGACAAATCCTCTATCGATGCTGACCGCAACAGCCGAAAGCTGAAGAACACCCTCGAAAGCCTGCAATCTGAGGTTGAACTGCTTCGATATGAGAATCAAGGACTCCGCGAGACAATTAGCCAAGAAAAGAAGCGCAGACAGCGCGGTAAAGCTCTGAAAGATCTGCTCTTTGATCGTACAGATCCAAATTCAGCTCAGGTGTTTAGCCCAGCAAAAGTCGCTCAAGCCCGCCTAAAGAAAGCGGCGATGGACGCCCAAAAGAAAGAGGAGGTTCTGCAGAAGGAATCGCAAAAGGCTCAGCGACAGCAGAAGGCGGCGGAGCAAAAAGCTCTCGCTCTGGAGAAGAGGAGGCAACGAGAGGCGGAAATAGAGAGAAAACGGCAGGTAAGGGAGGCCAGGCAGCAAGAGAAGGAGACCAATCGACAGATTCGACAAGAACTTAAGCGTCGCAATCTGGAAATGGCACATGAAATGCAACATGAACGACGGGTGGCTTCTGAAGGCCGCGAGAAGAGTCCGGACGTTCGAGACGAGATAATCGTCGCTCTTCCACTCATACCAGAGCCGCCGGTAGCATCACAGGCCCTAGATCTACCAAAAGACAACCGAAAAGGGAAGGCAGCGACCACTCCAATCCGTACCGCTCGTCCGAAAAGACCCTGTCTAGCTGTTGAGAGTGATCGGGAGATGGTAGTCGCATTTCGGGGTACCGGGCGGCCGCAGCGGAATAGCAAGCGACCACGATGGCTTGATGACTGCGAAATAGACTGAGACATATCTTATAGTTGCATTTTCATTATGTGTTTAATTTTGGAAGATTTGGGACTGCGGCTGTGGAGCTATTATAGATTGATGTCTGGAATGCAAGTAGGTGTAAGTCCGGCGAATCACCAGATCCGGCAGATCACCGGGAAATCCCTTATAGTAGAAATTCCAGATTTAGTCCGAGATAGTACGCCGGCTGTCCTGCATCTACCGAAACCGATCCTCCGGTTCACGAAGACGCCAAGAAGCCGAATATGAATCGGCCTCCGGGCACCGGGTACGGAAAGCGGCTGGGGCCCAATAGGCCGACGGTTACCCGTCGCTCTTCCTAAATAGGTTAAGAGCCTTCGCAATCCGAACCGAGTTCGACATCGGTGTGCCCGAAAGGAGAACCGGCGAACGACGGCTGTTCAAGAACGCACCGTGGACAGCGATCAGAGAAAGAGTGGAGGAAAGGCTCCGATGGCTGCCATGGGACGGCGGTGTGCAGACCCAAACGGACGGGCTCATGGGAGTAGTCCACGAAGCTATCGACAAGCTCGTGCCGTTAGCAAAGCCATCTCCGTACGCGAAGAGGTGGTGGACGACAGATCTAACCCGACTTCGACGGGCGTACACGTACTGGAGAAACCAGGTGAGATCACAACGCCGAAGAGGTCAAAGGTCGCCGGATCTGGAAAATAGAGCCAAGGAAGCAGGCAAAGAATACCATGACGCGATCAGGAGGCAGAAAAAGACTCACTGAGATGACTTTCTCGCGGACGGAGCCAATATTTGGCAGTCGGCAAGATATCTCAAACCGGGAGGCGATACCACGAGCGACAAGATCCCACCGCTCAAGAGGCCGGATGGAACAAAGACAAGGGACAAAGCAGAACAGGCGGAGGAGCTGCTCAGCGCATTCTTCCCACCACTACCAGCTGTCATTGAAGAGGAAGGTACCCGTTCCCGCCGGTCAGAGGTGGACATGCCGAACATAACCTTAGACGAGGTGGGGCAGAAGGTCATGGCAGCAAAGCCGTGGAAGGCACCCGGGGAAGACGGCTTACCGGCGATGGTATAGAAACAACTCTGGCCAGTGGTCCAAGACCGGGTACTGCATCTATTCCAAACGTCGTTGATAGAGGGAGAACTGCCGGACTCGTGGAGGAGCGCTAAGATCATTCCGCTTAAGAAACCAACACAAGGGCGACTACGCGATCGCCAAGGCATGGAGACCAATCTCACTGCTGTCGAGGCTGGGCAAGATCCTCGAGGCGGTCATGGCGGACAGGGTCTCGTACGCCGCCGAGACGTTCGGACTCCTACCCACAAACCACTTTGGAGCAAGGAAACGGCGGTCGACAGAGCAGGCACTGCTGCTTCTGCAGGAACATATCTACAAGGCGTGGAGAAACCGCAAGGTGGTTAGTCTCATCAGCTTCGAAGTCAAAGGCGCATATAACGGCGTATTCAAGGATCGACTTCTACAGAGACTAGAGGCCAGAGGCATACCACAGTGGCTGAGCAAATGGATCGATGCGTTCTGCTCAAATCGCACAGCGAGCATTGTGGTGAACGGCCATACATCAGAGCGACAGCCGCTACCCCAAGCGGGCCTTCCGCAGGGATCGCCGCTGTCGCCGGTGCTGTTCCTGTTTTTCAACGCGGATCTGGTACAGAGTAGAATCAACTCCACAGGCGGTTCGATGGCATTCGTCGATGACTACTCGGCCTGGGTGACGGGGCCAACTGCGGAGACAAATAGGGCAGGCATTCAGGCCGTCATAGACAGAGCACTGGACTGGGAAAGACGGAGCGGTGCAAAGTTCGAAGGCGACAAAACGACTATCGTACACTTCACGCGTAATGCCGAGCGCACCAACGACACACCATTCGTGATTAAGGGAAAGGAGATTAAACCGACACAAAGCGCCAAGATCCTGGGAGTGGTGATGGATGCGAAGCTACGGTATAAGGAACACATAGCCAGAGCAGCAGCCAAAGGGCTGTCGGCGGCCATGTGCCTGAGAAGGCTCAAAATGCTATCGCCTCAGACAGCAAGGCAGCTTTTCACAGCAACGGTGGCACCAGCCATGGACTATGCCTCCACTGTATGGGCGCATGCGTGCGGGATAAGAGAACTGAGCTGGCTGAACAGAGCGCAGAAGGTAGGTGCCCAAGCGATCACAGGCGCCTTCCGAACCACAGCGACTGCGGTGGCGGAAGCAGAGGCAAGAATCCCCACGATAGGGGAGCGCCATTCTCGAGCCTGCACTAGGCTCTACATCAACCTGCACACTTTTCCAAAGACGCATCCGCTCGCGGGTCTCAAGGCGTCAAGCAGCCGGAGATATATGTCACCGATGAAGAAGCTCGCGCTGGCGCACGAAGGAAATACAATTGAGCGAATGGAGACAATCCAGGCATATACACTACCACCATGGCACAGCCGCCTGCCCATCGGGTACGACCTCGGCCGAGATATGGCGATGGAAACCGCCAGCAGGATGGAGGGCATCCTGATGGCAACCAGTGCTTCTGAGAAGGCAGGTAGGGTAGGCATGGGCGGCATCGTTCGTGATACCCTGGGCAACAGACCGGGCCAAGTGGTGGCCAGGTACTCGATCACGATCGGCTCGAGAGACGATCAGAACGTGTATACGGCAGAGCTGGAAGCTATAGCGATGGCGCTAAGATGCATGCCGGATGGACTTCAACATCGAGAGTTGACCGTTATAACGAGCAGCCGATCAGCATTGGAAGTGATTGCACAACCTCGACAGCAGTCGGGACAATGCACCGTCAAAGAGATCCACAAGCACGCCGAACGACTCCAGAAAAGCGGCAACATCATCAAGATGCTGTGGGTACCATCCAAAGACAGAGACTTCCCCATGGGCTGCGAAGCAAAGGCGGAAGCTCGAAGAGCCGCACGGGGAAAACACAGACTGAAGGAAGCAGCATACCAAGCTCGTTCTACGCGGATGAGACTGGCGATCGCACAGCAGCAACAGCAGAAGACTCTGCCCGATAGGGTCGGAAACTATTCGAAGCGAATTGATAAAGCGTTACCAGGCACACACACACGCTCCCTTTACGATGGACTGAAAAGACGCGAATCAGACATGCTCTCACAGATGCGCACGGGAATGGCTAGGATCAACAGCTACCTACACAGGATTGGAGCAGCGGAATCGGACATGTGCGACTGTGGACAAGCAGCAGAAACGATAGAACACTTTCTGTTCCGGTGTACGCAGTGGGATGCACAGCGGGAAGGCATGCGACGGGCCGGACACGCAAAGATGGGAAACCTCTCGTTCTTTCTGGGGGGAAAGGCGACATCGGACGACCAAAAATGGGCACCTAACCTACAGGCGGTGCGGGCGGCGATTAAGTTCGCCATGGACACAAGGAGACTAGATGAGAACCCGACAGGGTGACGCACTAACTAACCACATTTAGCGGCCAAACCTGGCGATACTAACACGAAACAGCCTCAAGCTGGCAGGCCATGCTTCAGCTGCTGTAGATAGGATGCTGAACACTTGGAGAAATCGGCCTTCAAGCAGGCCTGTCACACAGAGTCAAGCGAGGCAAGACCGATAAGTGGATGAGGAAGAATGTGGGGCTTCTTGGAGATGCGAACGATAGCCTGCTGACAGGGGGTCTGTGCCCCGAGCACACAGGCCCTGTGCGCCTAGACGGCGCCTTCATTAGAACCCCTCAAAAACCTTTCCTGCTATGTACCTTTCCAAAAGTTATCAACCAAACCATACCAACTCCCCCAATATGTCCGTCCACGATCCCTCTTTGCAAGCGTCTTCTCGGCCGCGAGTAACTTTCTTTCACCTTTCTCGAGAGCTTCGCGACTATTGCTACGACCTTGCCCTCACCACTCCAACCGGACCAACCCCCGTCATCGCGTGGTCCGGTATACGGCCTGAAAATTCAGAGTCGCTAAGGCAAAATCGGACTTCAAGAAGGATCTGGAAACTGCCAGCCAATTCAAAACTGCGACTTCTGATGTGCAGAATATGACCCCAAATCTACTTCGATGTAACAGTATCATTGCACACGAAGCTGCATCAATATTCTATGGCAAGAACAAATTCGTCTTTGCAGGCGACTGGACGTGGGAAACGGTAGCCACCTGGTTCGGAAACATCGGCCCAAGGAATCGTACATTGGTAACCTCGATCGAGTTGTGGCAGCATCAACCTTCCCACGCGTGGCAGACGGCCAGTGGGGAACGCGTCAAGGTCGTTGAGTTTGACTGGGAGCCTTTGGAGCCACCTTTCCCACGAAACCGTCACCTGTATCGCTCGCCAAACTCGACGTCTGAGGGTCTCGTTGAGAGTATAAATCCTGCCATCGAAACGTTTTTCGAGCTCCTCGGCGACGAAAGGCTCTCGAAGCTAGTGCTTACTATCTCGTTAAGTCGAAAACTTATCCCTGGACTTGAAATGGACCCTGATGGAGAGGAATCTCACAATGACTGGTTCAGCATGGACCTTCCAAATATTGTAGAGAAACTACGCACTATCTACACGGCCGCTGGAGTGGAGGTGATATGGAAAGGCGAACTTTTGAGAGAACTGTTTCTCAAGAAGCGAGAGAATATCGAAGCGCGCTGGGAAATTTTGGATCTGGAGGAATTCGACTACACTCATACGCCGCGGAACATTAAGTTCAAAGGACGGACATGGCATTTCATGCGGTTCACACTGAGGAATAAAGAACTTCCAGAGCCGTTGTTGGCTGAAGAGCCTTCCCCTTATTCGGATTGGGGGTATTATACAGGACATGTATAATCTTGACTGCCAGGCTCTTGTTCGCTTTTCTTTGGGATGACCCTTGTTGTTTATGGTTCTCTTGTTGCTGTTTCTTTTATTAATGCACGCCCCTGGTGGCCTAGTATACACATTCAGTCATTACATCCCTGAGCCAGGGATGGACATCTTACAAATCTATCGAATCGAATGCTAAGCCTACTTGTGAACGGCCTCTAGTAGCTGGATTCCAGCTATCTAGTCCAGGATGCTATTTACATCAAAGATAAAGAAGAAGGAAAGAAGTTCCTAAGTGCCCCTGAGTTGTGGAACGATTTCTCATCCCTGGCGCGCACGAGCCTAGTACGTCTTGCGGCACAGCCGCAAGGATATGGGCCCTGGCCCGTGACATGTGTCGCAAAAAGTAGGGTAGCTAACTTAAGGGTATCCTAGGTAGTCTTACTATAATCGAATAAGCTAAAAGAAATAATTTGTTCTATAGGACGATGGATGAAGGGAATGATGAATGGATTGATGTCTGGGAGCCTATATGGCAACTTGATCTCCTGAAGTGAGGCATTGATCTATAGGCTGACCTCCCAGGAGGAAATCCGCCTCAACGAAACAATACTTTAGCGTCTTGTAAAGAACCTCAAATTCACTCGAGAGCCGTGATAAGGTTGAAAGGAAGTGGAGCGTTTGACTTGCAACTTCCCTCCAAGTAGCAGGCCGTATCCGGCCCTTTCCGCAAGCAGAAGCCAATAGTATGAGATAATGATGCTCTCTGAAGCTTGTTAGTTCACTCTATGCTCACGGAGAAAGAAGACATACTCAGAAATGCTCAGTAGCCTGTCCGACACTGTCAAATTCCGAGTTGATGCTAGCCACCTCTGAATAGCATTGATTCCATCTTCCGTACTCTTCGGTGCAGGAGTGGAAGGTAATTTGGTAAGATAGAAGGTTTCTGCCATTTTATAGAGGCTGTCAATATATGGAGAGCTTCTGCCGCTAAGATCTGTATCTGAGTATGGCATTGACAGTTTGAATGTACACTGTACTTGCTCTCGTTCATTACTTCAGCGAAGCGATGAGACAAGTCCCAACCTGGAGTCGAAATCAACAAGTTCTTTTGGAACTCCTTGACGATCCACCTCGCAATTCACGGGTGATCATTGTCGATTTCGATCGGGATATCTCTAGACGTTCCGAACCGAGTCTCAAGGAGCCCTACATCGAACATCGCCGTGGCGGAAAGGTCATTGTTAGTGATGTTGCAAAGGACCTAGAAGAGCTACGAGACAAGGACCTTGTCAGGTGTAATGAAAAAACAGTTCTCTGAGCGGCTGACGACCCACCCCCATCCTGGAAGACGGATTCTCAGGATTCTCTGCCCTGGGTCACACTGTTTCGGGAAACCGAAATCCACATGGACCTGTCCCAACTGCCGGGAACTGGTAGCCTACGGATATGACGACGAGTATCTGTACTGCTGCTGCTGCCGGTACCTTGCATCTCACGCAGCGTTCAAATGTAGACACAAAGGCCATGGCAACAAGTTCGTCAAATATGAGGACGACGCGCATTTGAGGCACCAGCTTGAGAATTTTGATCAAGATGAAGAGTACAACATTCTGCTGCTTGGAAGGTCTGGCGTTGGAAAGTCGATGTTAATCAACAGCTTTTCCATGTACAACCAGTTTGCAACGCTGAACGAGGCAATGGCTGACCCCGAGCCCATCAAACATCCAATTCCATTCCCCTTCTCGTGGTAGGACCAAGACAAGGTGGACCGCAACCTCGCCTATGGCAACGAATCTTCCGCAGAGAAGTTCTCGACTACTGGCCAGTCCGCCACGAGAAAAACTATATTTTACCACTTTACGATCAAGGGCAAGATATTCCGGTTCATTGACACGCCTGGCATTCTCGACACCGGTGGCCTCAATCAGGACCGCCTGAACCTGAAAGACGTCTTCCATGCTCTAAAAGACACTAACAAACTGAGCGCCGTTTTGTTTCTCTTGCACCCAAACGAGACCCGGATGGATGACAACTTCAAATTCTGCATCACGGAGCTACTCATCCACTTACATCGAGACGTCGCAAACAATATTATTTTCGGCTTCACAAACGCCAACGGCACGAGTTTTACCCTTGGCGCCACCGCTGTTACTTTGGATCAGATGCTACGGGAGCTGCGGAACTCAATAGCTCGTCGGCCGGAAATCCAGTTCTTCTTTGACGCGGGAGGCTACAAGTTCCTGACCCACTACAAGAAGACAGGTGAAATGTGGCTCTATAAGAAGCAATACGATTTTATGTGGGAAATGTCGGTCAAGCAATCTGACAACCTCATGCTAGCCGTCATCGGTTTCCACCTCACGACCTTCAAAAGACATCTAAGGTTGAATCAAGCCCGGGCCTTTTTAGATGGCATGGCAAAGCCCCTAACACATTTCCTTGCTGTCATGGAGAAGTCAAAGGGTGATCTCGACAGGGCGAAGCAAGACCTGGATGAGCTTGCCAAACTCAAAGTCAAAATAACCGTTCCAGTTCGACACAACTTATCGCGCAAGCAGACAGTTTGCTCTAACAAAGCCTGTAGCACTGTATACCTAGAAATGAACTCAATCGGAGGCGTCTACAGCGACGGTAGCCTCGGCCACTACGAGATTCGCATCGAGATGGCGCGGCGAGAGGGCAAACGCGTTGCAGCCGCTCAACTGGTGGAGCAGCGCAGGATGTACGAGGCGATGCTGAAATCGCTGCGAGAGGCGGTCGAGAAAGGTACTGTTGAGTGTCCCAGTGAAGAGGCCGTGGAGACAGCTATCAAGAAACTCGAAGACATGCCTATCTTTGGCAAGTCCCTAAGAGAGTGCATCGAGGAAGATCGAATCGTGCTGGACGGGGAGAGGCATGTGCACGTGTCGACTCCGCCGTCAAAGACGAGGGGCCGGGCTTTCTTTGACACAGTTACATTGGGTTTATTCTCTGATGCATAATTCTAATCCAGATATGAGGGGATAACCTTGACACTGGAAAAGGGGCAGGAACAGTGCATGGACGTCATCAAGGTTTTCGTCACGGCCCAGCCGTCGTACTTTACAGTCTTGGAATTGCCAGAGTTGGGTGCAAGCGGCTGATGGGCAGAGCCATAGCTGAAGAAAACGCCAAAGGAAAAGAGAAACGGCCACGCGTCGGAGGACTGGGCTGTGCTAACATTTCGGGTTTTGCTCGGTTCAGGGGCATGTATTAGCAGGAAGAATAAGTAGGTAGTATGAGGTTGTTGAATGACCCTTCCAAATTACGAGTTGCACGTAGGCACAGCGAATCGTTATTACAAAGAAATGTCGGGATTCCAGGTCTCGGAGGCTAGAAAGCAGCTCACAAGCCAAAATGGACAAAAGGGATTCTGCTTGCGTCCTCGCCCAACTCATCATCACTCGACTCATCCTCGTTCGACTGGTCATTGCCCGACTCAACCTCACTGGGGTCACCAAATATCACCTCACACCCTGGCTTGACGCTTATCACATGTCGATACATCATACGGGCCGCCCTCCCGAGGGTTTGGGTTGGTTAACCGCCTCTAGAACGCCGGCCACTCCCCATAGCACGGACCTGAGGGTAGGTAGATAGGGAAGGAAAAAGAAATTAACATTATATAGGACAAGCCTGTTGCCCCCCTGTTATTACACAATGCTTTGAACCCCCCCGGGAAAGATCTCCACAGTGGTGTCTTGTCATCTTTATCTTCTAGCCCCGTTTTGATCCCGCCATTATTCTTGCTCGCGTCGCTCACGCTGCTATGGCTGCAGATACGAGGCCTCTCGCTGCGACTTCTCGTTTAACGCTTGTACATATCGCTGGGACTCATGGACGAGGTAGCTCTGGATGAGGGCGAAGTTGCACCCCGAGTGCTGTAGAAGTTGCATCTTGAGCTCGTACACCTCGAGGGTCAGGTTGGCCACGCAGGTGGACAGGTCGCGGTGGATGTGCTCTATGTCCTGCTCACTAGACTTGAGTCTCAGCAGGTCTTCGCTCTTCTTAGCCCGGAACTTGTTGGATGCGATTCGGTTCCGTTCCTGAATCACTTTGATGCGGTCATCATGCTGTTGGACTGAATGAGCGCTGGCATTGCTCTCGCCGCGAACAGTTGAATGTTTTACCTTCTTCTCTTTCTGTGGATTGATGTCTTCATCAACCAACAAACTTCGTCTAGCTGCTTTGCGAGGCGGAAGGTCATCGGAGTCGCGCTTCCGCTTTCGACTCGGTTGCTTTGGTGTCGAGGGTGGATCCCAGTAGCCCTGGACGGGAGGTAATTCCTCGGAAACCATGTGCTCAGAATCTGCAGATAGGGCCGTGTACTTCTTAACAGGACTGGGGCCACTCCACGGGTCGATGTAGTCAGTCACATGGCTGGTGTCATTCCAATGGTCTGTCGAGCTGGTATCACAGCGATATACGAAGCCATCGAGTAGAGGACCAGTCTGCGTGTAGACACCGTTTGCCGTGTTGCTCCTGTCTTCGAACGAACCAAGCGGGACTAGCTGGTCTATCGACCACCATTGCTCCCATAGAAGTGGTTGGGAGATGTAGGATGTCCCGAAGATCGAGTCATCTCCAATGGGATTCGGCTCGCACAGGGCTCTGTCGCCCATGGGATGGAGAGGGATCAAACGGTATGTTTCTGTGCAAGAGATTAAACTGATGACCGAAGCAGCGGGAGGAAGAGCTAAAGAGAGACTTTACCTATCTGTAAGCGCCTTGAATAGACCGCTGGGCTGTCGTTTTGTGCTAGTGATGGTGGTTTTGGGTTTGGTGAAGAATCGTGTAGTGGGGGCCCGGGATGGAAGAAGATACTGTGCCGACTCTCATAAGCCATTGCAGACGAAATGGCCCGCACTATATAACAGAAATAGAAAGCAAAACGTGGAGCAACCGATGAGCGAGTTCTTTCAATTGCCCAGACGGACCAGTACACGACGTGCGAGGGTGAAGTCGACGTTAAGGTTGTGAAAGCACGTGGATAAGAAGAGCCATGTCTCAGTCTCACATGCACCGTTGAAGCACCAGACTAACAGCAAGTTCCCGGGGAAAAGGTGGCTTGGCTCTGGATCCCAGGTCCCTCAATCTGGCATCCTGTCCCGGGGCCATGGCCCGTCACAGCCTGACTTGTCATTTGCCGGGAGGGACGGTGCCAGAGGGATGACGGTGCCGGAACGGCATCTGGATCATCGAGACTTGCAAGAGACCGGTCAGACCTGCTATCCGTGCGCTCGCCCGGGCGGGATGAAACGGCATACACCGGTTTCTCACCAGTCCAGGGAGGGGATAGTGAGGCTGCGGGGAACGACGATTCTGGCAAGGCTTCGAACCATGAGTTTTGGAGACCTTGCGAGATTTTTTGGAGGAGAACCCGGCCATTGGACAGCCAAGGTCGGAGCATTGTCCGTGGCCTCCGATTGAAGAGCTGGAATGGAGTAGATGGAGGACGGTTCTGGATGACCTGGGATGGCTGAGGGGGGGTTTGATATGCAAACACTTCATTGGGATGAGACGGCGACATAGGACAAGAGGAAACAACAACGATGGTCAGGGTATACCTTTTTTGTTTGTTTACAAAAGTCACAAGTTTCCACAATGTTTATCTGAGGGACCAGAATCGGATCCTGGTGAGTTGATTCCCGCCAGCTCGTCGACGAGATTTCTAAAGGGCAACGAGTCAGAGACTGTGGATGACGACTTGGCCACCAAAGTCTTCGGATGGTAGATGATATCAATCTTTTAAGCCACAGCCTGCTGTCTGAGTCGACAGTGGCCATCTTTCCGAATCCAGATTGTTCCCAAAATTGTGTTGGGTTGTAAATTGAGCGGCGTGACCGCGATTGCGATTGTGGAAACCAAATTCGAGCTGTAGTACATGTCACCACTAGAAGCTGCAATCACTGCCCGTTCTGTACAGCACCGTATAGTCCCTTCCTCCGAACCCACCCCGAAAGCCGGTAATCAGCTGCGTCGCACTGGCACGCCCTACTGTACCAATTACCCCTCGTAATTTGCCAAATTACACACTTTCCGTCCGTGCGTCAATCCTTGCCCCTCGTAATTTGGCCAAACTACAACCTTTTGGTCCGTGCACGTGTGAGGGTTTTCCTCCCACTCGACGGTCAATGCTCAAGACACGCGTTGCAACGTCGTCCCATACCTTTAAACTGACGATCAATTTGGTGGCTAAACTGAGAGGTCAATTCTTTTATATGGATTTAATTGTATTTTTCTGCTCTTACAGTCCCAGATAGTCTGGCATTCGTATTTTGCCTTGACCTGCTAGGCTGTATTGCTCTGCCATTGTGTTACAATCTCCCCCTGAAACTGAAGTTAATTTAACACCCTAACAAACCCCAGTTGTAAAAAGAAAGGTGTAAGTTAACTAAAAGGGTCAAGTTTCGCAGGGAAAGAGGCAATCGCAACTCAAGCCTCTCTTTCTCACCTGCCATTCCCTTACTGCACAAAGGTGATCACCTGCCTCCGAGCCAACCAATGGTAAAATCCCGACAGTTCTTGAGAGCCAAACATTGACAAAAATTATTGCGAACAACCTCCAGTCACTTACCAGAGCCTTATGACTTATTCCATTCACTCATTAACGTGTTTTCTTTCATCGCTGTCGCTGTATTCGTCTTGCAAGTTGTTGGCCGCGTCGTCGACTTCTTGTCTTTCAGCCAATCAGAATTTAGCGGACAAAACTAAACTACATTCGATTTTCGCAGACGAATCTAAACTACTTTAGGAATAGTGCAAGTGCAACAGAGCCTAGACCTCATTCGGCATTCATATTGCTTTTGAAGCTCATCAAGATATCGCTCTCTGGTAGGACGCTCCTTTTTATTAGGGGATCGCGACAGGTTTCATGTCAAGAGAGGCAGACCTCGATGTCTTTGTATAACCTTGACGACCTCGCCAAACTTGTATTTGAGGAAACCCCCCTGGTAGCCTTCGTCGGGGTCGGGGTTGGCCCTAGGGTCGACCTCGATGATGTCGTCAGCGACGGCGCTGGCAGTTGTTGGGCCGGTGTTGTCCTCGGCAGCAGTTGTCTCGGCAAAAAATGTCATGGCCGAAAGTATAACAGTGCCAGTTAAGATTCTACAGGAAGGATTAATTGAAAGACTGTTGTGGGGCGGGGTTCTCACTAATAACGGCAATGGGCACCAGATAAGAATTTGCGTTACCTTACACCTGTGCGAGATGGGATACGAGGGTGGATGTGGGCGATGCCACCGCAGAGATGGCACACGCTGCGCTGGGCGGAAAGACTCTGTTGCCAAGGGTAGAGGGTGTGCACCGGGGGCGGTGGTTGCTGAGCCCGTGCTGTTTCATCGACAGGGTTTTCCCAAGGAGAGTCGGCAAGGAGATGAAGAGGAGGGTGTGGCGGTGGTTACTCCAGGGGAGCGCTGACCGGGAAGGCAGTTGACCACGCTAAGGTTTCGGATTGAAGATGTTCGCCGCCATGCCACGGAGCCTCTCCTGCCCAAAGAGACGGAGGGTGCAGCGGGAGATGCGCACTTAGTACGGTCGTTGCCAGGACATCGCCCCTTACAACGTGGAATTACATACGGTCTCGACGGCGCCTTCCCGCATCAGCCTCAGCCAGCCCTCCTACGTGCGTACGAATGGGCATCCACCCGATGGCACGAGTTCATTCGCCAGCCTAGCAAGAATATGCCAGTTGAGTGTAACCTAACGACCTCTTTCAGATCACATTATAATACTAGGGGGGTCTCGTCATTTCACTTCAGCTCAGCCACCCGTTCGTCCCTCACGGAGGGGTCGTTGACTAGCCAAAATTCGGCGACTAGCCAAGTTTAGGTACATCAATTCACACCAAATTCTTAGTGTAAGCGAGGTACCTTCATTATAGCGATTACATAGGGTAAGTTACATCGGTATGTTCCAAACAAAAAGTCAGTTTAGTGGTGGAAAGGGATAATAGCCAACACCCAAATCATCTGCTATTCCTTAAGAAGGTGCATAGAAAAGCGTCGCATAGGCGTCCTGCTTGGTCGGCCTGAAGCCGCACCAGACTACGCGTATATGGTCGGATTGATCTGAGGCTTATGTCTCCTAATAGGAAAGCGTCTAATCGGATGCTCTATCAGGTCAGTTGCAGGAAATAATAGTGGCAAGGCATCGATGAGGCCTGCGGAAGCCTATCAATTAGCGAAGTGGAAGACTGAGGTCGGACAAGGATCGTGACTGCAGTCAAAAATAGTCTCGTAAAAATCTCTCAAAAATCAAGGACAAAAAGTCTTCATTAACTCAAACAATAAGGTCATTGAGACAGCTGTCTCTCTGACCGAAATGAAAATTCAATATCAAGATGCGATGATGATCCTTCCTTCCATGCGCAGCTTCCTCCCCTACTTATCCCTATTACATCCCTGCTAGCGACTAGCTAGCCCAAAAGTCCTTAACTGCCTGTCTCATCGGTCTGATATAAGTAATTTGTTGGTGGGAGCGTCCTTTAGTGCAGACCACACCCGTCCGTAGGGTAGGAGCTGGAGAAGGCAGAAAAACAAGGGAAAGCAACAATTCGGCTGTCACCTGGGAGTTGAGATGCAGGAGGCAATGGATCCACTGCTTCCTGACGTCTCCAGAAAGGAAGAAAGGGAAAATATCGATAAGAGCTGCTGCGACAGCTATAGCGTAACGAGTGCAATGCGACAAAAGGCGTAGTCAAGTGTAAACGAAGGAAAAAGCGTGTCGTTTCAATTGCTCGGGCAGACTAGACGCCTTAAGTAGGGCCATAATAAGCTAGCTGCTGGCTCCTACTGCATTAAAACTCCAGGTCGACCGTTGGCCCCATCACAGTAAACCATCTCGACATATATCCGTCAAGCATGGAACATGCAAGTCTAACTGCGTGAAGGATTCCCGTCTCAATCATGATGCTTGAGATCTTTACCGTCTTTCTGCCTTGCTGGGAGGTCATCAGGCACCAGACCTTGCGACAGGAAACTCTCGACTCAATCGCCCAATGGCAGCTCAACACGAAGTCTGTCGAAAATGGTGCTAGGCCTATCGCTACTGCATCTACCACTATGGCTGGCTCAGCCCTGACTGCCTGGCAAAGGACGGCTCCGTCAAGAGCAGTGGCTCTGGCGAGAGTATCCTTACCATGGAAGCTCTTGAGTACGTTCTTGAGCGAAACCCCGAGCCTCTCCAGCAGTTCTCTGCGCTTCGAGATTTCTCTAGTGAGAACATCGCCTTCTTGAGAGCTGTCGCAGAGTGGAAGTCTTCGCTGCCTCCAGCTTTTCGCGACCGCGAGAAGATCAAGAATGCCGCTGTCCAGGAGCTTGTCCGCGAGCGATTCAATAGCGCTCTCCGCATTTATACCAACTTTGTCAGCTCCCGCGATGCCGAGTTACAGATCAACCTGTCTTCACAAGACCTGAAGAAGCTGAAGGATGTCTTCGAAAACTCTGCCCGCATCCTGTACGGCGAGAAGCGCCAGATTGACCCGGCCACACCATTTGACTCTTTTGCGATGACCGCCACCAACATTAAATCCTCCTCCGCGTCGTCCCACGGATCCGAGACTGGCATTATGACCGAGTTGATTAACGATACGGAGCACGTTGGCGATAAGGCCCTCTACTGGGGTGATATCCCCGACGGCCAGCGCTGACATTAATTCAAGTATCAAGTCAAGTATACCAAGTAAGTCAAGTAAGTCAAGTAAGTTGACCACCCAATGCATTTCAAGTAAGTAAGTTCATGATGCCCCAAACTTGATTTTACTTGAAATACTAGATTTTATATGTTTCCCCGGGCAACGGCCCTGGGAATGAGGCCATTCGCAGCTCATCAGCCCAAGCTATAGGGTATGAATTGGTCTTGTCTTCCCAAGCTGATCGTACCAATGATAACCCAGGGACACGACAGGGGTCGCGCAGATTTATGTTTTGTTTGCCCGTGTGGTCGAGACGCGTCGCACCTGACTCAGGGCCCAAGTCGTCCCTTCGTAAGTGGCAGTCCATGGTCCACCATCTATGATCCGCGATCCGCCAATTACCCGCCATGGCAGGCCAATAGCAGTCTCTAGAAACGCTCCTAGGGATTAGCAGCCGGCGCAAGTCGCTGAAACAGCAGCTTGACTCCCCGTCCATCAAGGTTGAATTCGGGAGAACGACTCTTGCTGACCTCCCAACGGTCCATATCGGCTGCAAGAGTTATGTACCAGAGGAGTATATCGCAAAAAATTCCTGCTCTGTCTGTCGATCCTGAGCGGACTTTTAGCGTCACAAAGTTGACAGTAAGCTTGCAAAGGCATAGCTTAATCCCCGAGTCATAGAGGAAATACAGTGCCTACGGAATTGGTTAGGCCATCAAGCGACAAGCGATCACTGTGGGCGGGGTCGTCAGCTTTGGCGGGGAACTGGTGGCTTGGGATGGAGGGGAGGCGTGATAGTACCAATAGCTTTATCCCGACCTCAGATATCAAGTATATCAATTCAATTCAAGTTAATCAAGTTCACCGACGATTTTATTTCAAGTAATCAAGTTACAGCCCCGAACTTGACTTACTTGAATTGAAGTCAGCGCTGCCGACGGCTTTGATGCCACGATTTTTGATGACGCTGAAGGAAGCGATAAGTACCTTGTCTTGACTCACACTTGGCCAAAGTTTGTTAAGGACTGACGATGCTTTATTGACTCTTAACGATACCCTTGAGGCTGGAAATGGAACTCCTGCGACTCGTTGAAGCGTGGTAATGAGTGGGAGTTACGGTGATTTGGGCGACTTGGGAGGGTTTTTGATGCTTCTACCCTTTTTTTTTTTTTTTTTTTTTTTTACCTTAATGAATCTTGACTAATCCGTCAGTCTTTCTTCTTCCGCCATGCGGAAGTCTCGATTGATGTCCTAGTCTTTCAAACCGTGACGTGATGCTATACTTACAGCTGTCAAAACCTCATAAGAATGGTTCACTCAGTGATGTAATTGGGTTGGAGGCAATTTGCATTGGACTTGGAGTGGACGGAAAATGGCTGGACTGGATTTAGGTTTCTCGAAGATTTGGACTGGATTGGATTGATTGGCAACCAGCTCCTGGAGCTCCAATGAGCAGTTGTTCGGGGGCAGCACACCATTCGTCCTCAGACTGCGGGCAGATAATCAAGGGCGGTATTTAAGTGTGAGTTCTTGTAAATTTGTTTGGCTATCTAATCCACAAGCTGGAATGACATCGACTCTACGCGTATCGAGGAGGTCATAATGGCATCTGTGGACGATTACGCGTCCCCCAGCACCGCGATGACACCGCAGAGGTCGCGTCGGACCGCCGCCCATGTCTGGGCACGACGACGTTCGTTCTGAGGAACATTCCCCGACAGTGCGCAAGGAACCCCGGGCCACTCCCTACAAACTACAGGGTTGATTTGCAGTGAAGTGAGTAGGAAGATGCCATGCATGTGAGGGTTATTGAGAGTCAATTGGCCTTAACCACTGCCCAAGTCAAGAGGACGAAGGTCCCAGTTATATACACAACAACGGTGCCCAAGTGGGTCGGGACGCCTCCTCGGCTGGGGCGGAATATCGTTTGACAGAGCACACCCCATATGAAATCCATTGGCTGTTTCCGGAGAGTTGTGAACGAGTTAGTCCCCGTCGATCTCACCGGCATCCATATCAAACGTTGCATAATTGAAGTGGGATCCTCCGGTCTCCTCTACGCTGTTTTGCAGAAAAGAATCGAAGTCGAAACCGTGGAGAACATCACCAGATGCAGGGAGGTTGGCGAAGTCCATGGAGCCGAAGTCCTACGGCCATATCAGTTACTCGATTAGGAACCAACGAGAGAACAAGAGTTACAGTTATGTCAGGGTTGTCCATGCTGAATGTCACGTTCTGAGTCAAGTCAGCATGCGGCCGAGCCACGATGGGAGCAGGTGCAGGCGGTGCTGCTGGCTGTCCGATGGGCACAACCTGTGCAGGACCAGTATCCTGCCCCTGCTTCTTTAAGCTGACTGGGTTAACAGGAGGCACTGGGCCCGGAGCAGTTTCCACAGCAAGGGTCGCTCCAGAGCTGAGATTCGACTTCGACGTCTTCTGAGTCACCATCTGCGTGGGCGTTGTCAATACGTAAGCACCCTAATGTAATATGGCAAGCCAGTTACCTTGCTCTTGATGTTCTTGGTCCTCGTCTTGGGAGCGGTCCCCTTCTTGGGAGCGGCCTCCTTCTTGGGAGCGGCCTTGTTACGCTGTGAAGGAGTTGGCGGGGCAGTCTTCGTCGTCTGTGGTGGTGACGGAGTGGTGCTTCTTGACTTGGCGCTGTCGTTCGCCTTGGTCGGTGCGGATGACGGGGCCACAGACCGTTGTTGCGGTGTGCCCTGGACCTGGACTTGGCCCTGAGCAGCCTGAGGAATCTGGTTTCCGTTCGGATCGCCTTGCCACTGCATCAAACCACCTTTTTGAACAGTCTGCTCTTGCTGCTGGCATTGTGCCTGTGTCGCCGCCACTTGTTGCCGGTTCGTTTGACCATTGAACTTTTGACTAGGGTGTGAACTAGGAGGTCGCGTCCAGCCATTCGTCTGCACCGCAGCCATGTTACCGTTTATGCCGCCCATGCCTGCTTTGAAGAAATGCGGCTCCAAGTTGGGGTTTATTTGATTGGCTATGACGTTGATGGAGTTAGGGTAACTGCGAGATCGGGAATTTTCGGGAAGGTGGGATCCCATACCAGTGATGTTCATCTGTTGAGTGCCACGTTTCATCTGGTCCGCGGCATTAGGCGACGCTCCTGGCTTTGCCCCTTGCAGAGCGGGCCGTTGGAAAGGCTGTGGACCTCCTGGAGACCCTTGACCGCCCCGACCGCCAGGCACTCCGTCATTCCGAGGCAGACCACTCGTGTCTTGTCGCGCTATGAGCCCCTTCTTGTTTTGTTGCTCCATCGACATCAGCTGCATCTGGTAATCTTGCAAAGCTCGATTCCTTCCACCACCAGCTTGACCACCCGGGGTCCCGGGCGTCATATCACCTGCACCCATCTCGCCGGAGTTGTAGAAAGCGTTGAGGTTGGTCCCGTCAGGAGCATGCGGTAGCAGTGAGCAACCTTGGGCCTGCAAGCAGCTAGCATTCGACATTAGCTTGTTTTGTTGCTGTGCACCACGTTAGCTACGTCAGGCCAGAAAAAGTGGTCCAAAAGACAATACCTGCATATGACTGGCATATTGATTCACTTCACTACTTCCACACTCGTCCTTTTGAGCATTGAATATGTCCCAGAAGAGGCAGAACCATTCATAGAGAAAACAGCCGTCTGGAGACAGGTTGGGAACATTAGGAGCAGGAAGAAGCTCTGAGCGTTTGGAGTCCAAACCAGTGTCGATGGATTCATCGGAGAGGGCATTGCTCAGCCAGTCGCCTTGGTCGTCGCGACGACTGCCGGGGCTATGCTTCTGGACCTTGACGTCGGAGTCGGCGTTGAGAATGGCGTACGCGCAGTCAAGCATGCCATAGCGGAGGAAATACTCGTAAATGTAAGTGTTCAGTTGTGTCCGCTTGTTGTCATTCTCCCGAAGTTGTCTCGGAGCGCCATGTGGCGCAACTGCGCAACTATTCATCATGACCATTGGGGCATCACGAACAGGACCGCCCATGGCATTCATATTGGCCATATTGACGTTGTTCATGGTTCACGAGATGTTGTAGACGATATCTTCCGGGTCGGGGGAGCAGGAGTTCGCGAGTGTGTGGGTTAGACGGTGGTAAAGCTGGTCAGTTTCGAAGACAGTCCAGAGCTCAACCAGGAGTTGTCGCAATAAAAGTAGGTAGAATACGTAAGAATGCGCCGTGGCTCGATGAAGAGGAGCGGGTATATCCATGAATCGAAATCGAGAGATGTTTTCCTGTCGAACGGTAGTCAGCCCCCGCAGAAAGTCAGCATTTGTGACGTCACGGCGTCTTTTTGTGCCATGCCATAAAAAAAAAATTAAGGAAAAACTTGCTTAGCCCAAATCTCGAGGGCTGGTCTGCATGGCCCCACTCCACGTCAAAGATCCCAGCCCACGGGGAAGCAGACCCGAAATACACCGGACGGCATAGCGGCCCATTTGCCGTGCTAGTCCCCCTAAACTCTAGGACTTAGGAGGATGCCGCGTCTCTCGACAACGATTGGCGCCGGCCCCTCACCTCAAGGTTTTGACCATCTGGTGGTGTACTCCAAAGCGCCCGCTCTTCAATTGGCACCGTAATGTTTTCGCTCGATCTCCTGACATCACACACATTGTGTTTGAGTCATGGAGAGGCTGACGCTCGGCATTTGTCGGCTTCAGTCGGCGGCGAATGGAGGATCAATGAAGCTCGCTACGCGGGTAACCCCAAGTCTGTCCGAGCTGGTTTTGCATTTCTTCTTGTAATCTGTTTTGACTGATGGTCACTGCAGCGGGCATCAGAGCGCACTCCGACCATTGATCCAATGTAAGTGACGTTTTTTTATTTTTATATTTTTTGTGCAAATATCAACAGACATGTGAGCGAATTCGACCTCACCAACTTCATCCTACTAGGAAGAGCACGTCAGACACTCAAAGTCCCGTGCATTGCATCAGGAGACTTTGCAGATGGCCAAGGACTGGCGGCAGCTTTATGCCTGGGAGCTTCTGGTATTAACATGGGCACGAGATTTTTGTGCACCATTGAGGCTCCAGTTCACCCAAATGTGAAGCGGAAAATCGTCGACGCTCATGAGGCCGATACAGTCCTTGTTATGCGTGGATGGAAGAATACTATGCGCCTTTTTCGAAACGCGACATCCGAGGCGGCCTTGAAGGTTGAGCGGGAGAGTACAACGGGCAATTTCGAAGAGATTGCACCTTGTGTGAGCGGAAAGAGGGGTAAATAAGTATTTATAACTGGTGATGTCGAATCTGGGGTAGGGACAAACCTGAAATGATCTTGAGTGCTATTTCCTAGAAAATTCACCGACTTTACTAGGTTTGGACTGCCGGGCAAGTTGTTGGCTTGATCCACGATATACCAACTTGTGAAGAATTGATTACCCGGATTGACCGTGAGGCTGAGAACAAACTTCAGGATAGGCTAAGCATGATCGATTCTCAGTCCAGACTTTAGTCGGTAGCGAGATCACTCACCATGGCTTCGGCGGCTGTGACATGAGAGCTTAAGCCCCGAAGGAAGAACGGGGGAGTTGCAGTCGAAGTTATCTGCTCTGGCCATGGGTTGATGGCCAGTCCACCCGGTGTTGCCACAATGCAAGCTCGCGAACAAGGGTGATTCGCTCCTCAGCGGACGGAACAGGTGCCTGAGGAAGCGCCTGCCTAACGTAGGGCATAAGTGTACCTTGAGAACTTCTGCGAAGGCGAGAGTGGAAACGAGAAGGCACAAGATCTTGGCTGTGCGACCATGTCAGGATGGTGGCGCCATAAGAGGCGCAGGAATGCCGAAGGAAATCGTCTGACTGGGATTCACTGGCACGCGTGAATGCTGCCTGGAGAAGGACGCTTGATTGAAGTTGGCGAAGTGGAACGCAAGAGGCAGCACGGAGACACTGGGATAAGCCAAGGCAATGGCATCAAATCATTGGCCCTTATACGACTGATCCTCTGATGGCTCCATCCTGCCGCCATGAAGAGCTGAAGAAATCAAGTACCATTCTGATCATCCCCCTCCCCCCTGCTGCACTGTCATCCTCGGGCCAGGGCGTTTCATCACTTGCTCACGGGACTCATGCATCATGGTCAACCTACCCTTGGGTGTGCCTTGCCTATGCGTGGCAAATAACCGGCGATGCTGAAGGAACGGATGAGGTGAACTTGCGTCTTGACGTCGATTAGAAGACTAGAAGATTCCACTGGCGTGGCAGGGCTTCGCGCCATGAGAGGGAGGACTCAGGGGCCACGCAAAGATGTTGGTTGAGCGCGATTCTTTCGTGCACCCCAGTTTCCTCGTCGAGAAGGCTATGCGAAGAGGCTGGTGACATTCCAGGCACCAGGCCGGCCGGGCGTGGAAAGGGGCTTGGATGGTGTTGGAGTTGCTCTTGGTGACCAGCACCTCGGCTGCACATGGGACAGTAGGCAGAAGAGGCTTAGAATCATGCAGTTCTAAATGTGAAGCTTCTCCAACAAAGGTCCGGTGACTCATTGAGAAGAGTCGAATCTCGTGATTCTCGAACGCGCGTAGCCCGTAACCCACATGTCTTCGACCACCTTAGGCAGCGGCCTTTCACGCCTCCTCGGGGGCGAAGCTCTCGAGGAGGGTCGCCGGGATGAGGCCCCCAAAGTATCGGTACAGAGTCGCCAGCTGCTGGATGCCTCAAACCACAATCTCAGTGCTTTACAAACACCCTCATTTCTGATCGCTGACCGGGCTTTGCGTCAGCAGTGGGCCTCAGCCCCAACCAACCGCTCTGGATGCCACCGAACGTGCGGTCCATGGCATTGAAACCTGTTTATGTCCAAGTTAGTGGGGTCGGAACTGCGTTTCCGGTCGAAAACTGATCGTGGCAAAACTGAAGTCATCCAATATGTCATTCCTATTGGCCACAGCTCCCGTCGATCCCGTCGATCTGGCCAGTCTGGCCCCAAACGCACTATCAACCTTTTATCGTCGTTCGTTGTTTACCCGACTGCCGTTGGAGTATCATCTGCGTCCAGCTCATCGGCCTTAGCGGCTTTGGTGTTCTCCCTGTCTTCAACCTGCTCTGCTCGTTACGTCCTTCCTTGTTCTCCTTACCCTCGCCACTGTCATCCTCGGCCATGCTTGTTGTTCGGCGTCAATCTGCTCTTCGGGAATTTCGTTCTGTTCGATTTCCTCTTCTAGTTCTTCCTCTGGGTGCATTTGCTCAGGCCGATGCTTATGCTTTTGCTGTTGCTCTTGCCGTTGTCCTGCGGATTTCCCTCGACGATGGCGGGGCCATAATGATGCAATCGTCCAATCCCGTCGGTTTGAAATACAGCAAACAACTTGGCTTTAAATATCTTGTTGCCACTTCGCAAATGGCGGCACTCAATTCACCCAGGCACATTATTTTGCTCAACTCTGATCGAGATCTTGACCAACTTCACCTCTTGGCTCTTCCCATACTTGTGGTACACCCCCTTGATAGCGCCTTTTTCCATCGCCTTCCATCCCTTTCCGTCCCATACACACCCATACAATCCAGAAGCACTGAAACGGCAAATATCAGTGCCGATCATCAGCCATTGGTCATGGGAAGCATGCAATAACGCCAACCACCTAACAGAAAGGGGAGGGGAGGGAAAAAAGTAGACAATCAGTGGCCAAACAATGCCGAGGCCAGTCGTTTGCTGAACATCACCCCGGACCAAGCTGCCCCGTTTATGAAGACCAATAGCCAGCCATTCATCACTAAAATTTCAAACTTGCAGCAAGAGCTGTCTTTCTTGTGAACAACAGACTGTCCTTTTCTGCGACCATGTCTTCCAGACAAGAAGGCACCTACTCCGTATCCAACCCCAATTCCCCGCCCACTCCAATCGACCTGCCAACCTACTCCCGCTGCATGTATCAACACATCAAGAGACAAATGGAGGCTGTGTCCCGTTCGTCGCATCTGCGCTCGCAACATCCAAACCACACTCCGGCGCCGATGCAAAACAGCACTTCGAGTCCGAACGAGGGAGGTTCAGGAAAACCCGCTGGAGGTCAGGAACTGCCGTGAACGATACTTTCCGACTTACGGTGGCACTCTTGTTGGTTAAAGCCGCCAAAGGAGTCTCGCGGGAAACAGGTAGCCCCGATTTATACCCTTCCAGAACCATCCTCGTTCTACTCCTGCCACCTTGGACGGTGAGCCCGCGCATTCCAAGCCATGATTCCTGCTGGTTGGATGTCGCCGTTCGACGAGCGTAAGAAACAGAACGAGCTTCTCTATAATCTTAACTCTAATCTTACTCGCGAAGAAGCATCAAGATACTGATGAATGACGCACAAGCGTACTTGGCTTGAGATCGGAAAGCCCAAACGCCTAGACCCCCCGAGGCATCGACCTCCGATCTAAAATCCCGCGAAGGCAGCAACCAGAATTGCTGCCACCACCAGCCCGTATCGCGACGCCCGAAAATCAAGCAACGATACAGCCGCCGACGTTCCAGTGGCACTCGTCTTTGTGAGGGAACGATCATTTGACTTTCATACTTTATGAATAGTCCCACTTTATAAATATTGTGTAAATAGCTTAAGTCAGAGTTTTCCTTAATCTCTTTCTCTCCTTGTAAACAATCATTTTACCCAAGTCGCATTCGACCTCGTTCGTGCCCTTGTCCCGTCACATTAGCCTCAATGGAGTGTTCGCACACTTCCTCGACCCCCTTGGCAAGAAGAAGATCCTCCTGTCTATACCGTCAATCAACGGGAGCCATACGGGCGAGGCTTTTGCAGACGGCGTTGGGGAGATCATCAAGGAGTTTGGCCTCGAGAAGCGCGTGGGCTACTTCGTCCTGGATAACGCGGGCAATAACAACACAGGCGTGGAGGCGCTTGGACGAATATTTGGCTTCAAATGGCCACGCAGATCATGAATGGCAAGGATCTAAGGGAATTCGAGACGGAGAGTGATGCTCCTCGCGCCCTCCAGGACGGCCTCCAGCTTTGGAGGCGCAAAGGCGCCCTAGGCAAGCTCCGCAACATCATTATGTGGATTACTGATAGACACGCCGGCGGCGGCCGCGCCAGAGAGTTTAAAGCGCTACAAATCGAGTCCCAAAATTGTCTTCTAGACGATGAGCCCCGCCGACCCCCTGCCGAGCTTAAACAGCCGAACGATACTCGGTGGAACTCACATTACTATGCCTTCCGTCCTCAATCGAGCCCCAATCGATGCCTATTCTGAGGAGGAACGCGCTCACAATACACGTCTTGAGCGGGTTACACAGAAAAATAGACGACTAGCGTCAGATAAGCATATCAAGCTTCCAACCAAACCCTTGATTGTGGAAGATAAGATGTCAACTGAGGACTGGGTCACGGTCACAAGATATATGGAGATATTAAAACCGTTGATGCTGGTCACAAAGAAACTCGAAGGGTATCCACGGCAGGGCCGCAACGGCCTTATGTGGGAGGTGTTGCCTTGCTATGAGTTTCTCTTGAATCATCTGGAGCGCCTAATGGAGCAATATACCGGTAGGGACTCGATCTGCCTGGCCAAGGGGCGGACACACGTACCCAAAGCCGCCACTCCAAGCGCACCGAGCATACCGAGTGCGCTGTCGTCGCAGATGGGTGATGTGATTCCTTTCCCTATGGTAGACTCTGTGGGAGACATTTCGAGCAACCACCCACGAGATGGTTCTGCCGACGCTATAGAGCCTCCTTTCATCTCCCGTTTCCACGAGCGAAACAACCAGCCTATGGCATGTAGCCCAAAGCGAAGCAACACGGGAGGTCATATACCCCCTCCCCTTTCTTTCCGTGGTTTCTCTGGACCCGCTAGAGGTGTCCATCATGCTTCCACCAATAGCACAGCAGGAGCCAGCATCGGCACTTCTGGGTCTTCCGACATCTACCAGTCTCAGGCGTCGAGCACCGGCACGTGCCCTATGAGCCAGGCGATTTTTCAGAGGACGTCAGAGGTTTCCTCAAGGCCTAGCAACTTCTTCGATGCTATCTGGACGGTGCGGATGGAGGCTTTCATTAGCCCCCTCGCACCCACAGGTTTTGGCGACTTCCCCAATGAACAGAACGAGCTCCGACACGAGGTCCAGAGACGGAGCAAAAAGCTCCGAAGGAGACACAGTCGGAGCCGGCACCGGAACAGCTACAACTCTCGAGGCACCCGTGGCACCGACGACTACTACCATGAGAGCCGAACCGCAGGCGAGGAAGACTTCTTCCGAGACGAACCATTCAAAGGGTTCTAGCCTCTGAGCCACACCACACACGATTGTGCATTTCTTTGAATCTTTTTGATAAGTTGGAGCAAGGAAAACTATAACGTATGTGATAAGCGAGTGGGCCAGACAAGTGAGTGCACCGAAGCAGTTTTACACCTTAAAATGCAATTTTTTAAAAATTTCTTAAAATTTAAACTAGGCTTAAAATATATATAATTTAAGAAATAAGTCTATTAGTTAATTCAATTACAATAATAATAAATTTTCCTATATTATTAAAAAAAAATTTATAAAGTTATTTAAGAAAATCTTATTCGCACTGTTTTTTTTCTTATTTTTATTTTTAAAAAGCTAAATTGATTTTTTTAAATTCTAGGAAAAATGTTATCTTATGACTTTCTTATTGGAATATCTAAATTTAATTCCCTAAAACTCCTAGAATTATATGGCTAATTTTAGGAAATTGAAAATTATGACTTTTAGCTGTACAGTATAAGTGGTGCACTTACTTGTTTGGCCCACTCGCTTATCACATACGTTATACTCTTTTTTCGGTAGATCATTTTGGGACTGGTTTTTGTTGGTCTTTGCCTTCGGGTTGGCCTAGCTGAAAATCTTCTGATGGGCGCGGTGTTTAGGCTTTTTTTTCTTCTATTTATCAGAAAGGAGAAGATGGACAGGAAGAGCATTCTAGATATGCGAGACCTATGGTGGAGGAAGCTGTCATAGGCGACGACAACGAGGTGTTGGTGGATGGAAGATGTTACAACCGACAGGGACCCGCAAATAGCCCCAGCCAATCATGTAAGGATCGCATCGGATAGGAGCGTAGCGCTCCTGGAGTGGACGATCCACCAATGATGCGCTCCACGTAGTATATATTACTAAATGGATACGTGACATAGCTAATGACTAGCGGAACAGTGGGAAAACATACGCGCGCGCGAAATTACTTAAGCGGTTTACAGGGGAGCCAATACCGAAGAACGCAAGCTTACAATTCCAAGTGGAACGAGTGCTTGATAATCAATACAATGCCAAGCCTTAGATAACCTTGAAAATTAGGGAATGATAGGGAGAAGCGATGTGGCAGGAACGATGTGGGATTTTTCCTCGTAGTGTACCATTCATCGTCGGGGTCGTGTCCGACCCAGTCTACCCTATACTGAAGCTGTTTGACAAAGTCAATGGTCTTTTGGGCCGCCGATTGTCCGAAAGTTTTGCCTAGGATGAAGAATCGATTTATGCCAAAGTGCAGGTACCTTGTCCAGGGAGGCTCTGAAGAAGCATGAAGGGTTGGAAACCACCATGCGCGGTCATGAGACGAGAGGAGGGAGGGCGAGAATGGGGATGAATTCCTGGCCGCGTTTTGCAATGATGACGGTTCCTTGCAGGGCTCCTAATAGTGTAACCAGTGCGTGTGAAAGCCTCAAACTGCTCATTTAGTCCGTTCGAATTGGCCACACTAAACTACCGGTCCGTCTAACTTGGTCACACTAAACTACCAGTCTGCCTGAAATGCCCAGACTAAACTATTGGTCCTTCCGTCGCCGTCACACTAGACCACAGTGCAAACTATGGTCTACACTAATAGTCCAAACATAAAAGATGGCTTGTGGCCCATCCCCGTACCTGCCTCCAAGCTTCCCAATGCCATTGTCGAATTGTCTCACCGCCCGCCTTCTTTATCACGTCCCTGAATCCAAAGTATCGACGATGGTACCCGTGGCTGCCGGATCGACATAACGACACTAGAGTCCAGAATTAGACAACGGTACACATCACGAATCAGAAGGCTTACCTCTGATGGGACTATCAAAGAGCTCCTGTCCCAGGATCGTAGGCATTCCAAGAGGTTCAACGTTTCAATGTTCATAGATCCTCGCTGGTCGGTTACCGAAAGCTTGGCTTTGGAGAAGAGTCGCTCTGTCTCAGTAGACATAGGCGCAATCGATAGAATGTCGATGGCCATCATAGATAAGTTAGGGAACCGCCGTCGCTGCGCTGATTCTAACCACCATTTCAACGGATCCGATACCATCATCACAGGCTCACGGCAGTACACTTCGTACTCGTCGTCATCCATGTTGAAAATCGTAGCCTTTTGCTCTCTCATCCACATTTTGTACCCATTTGGTCGTCTTGTAGTTGGCTCTTGTGCAGAAGTTGGTCGAAGAACAGGGCAGGAGGTGGTTGGTTTGTACGTCTCCCTCCACAGCTCCCCTACACGAGCTTTAGCTCTCTCAATCCATTCATTCTTGTCCTCCCAAGTCTTCTCCATGTATGCCCACTTGAGGGAAGGATGCAATACCGTCGCAGCTGAGTAGACCGGCGAATCTTCCGTTAATTCATAGTAGTCAGCCAGTTTGGCCCAGGCGGTCTCCATCATTGTAGCCAAGTGGGGGATGGTGGTGGTCTTCTTGGCTGCCTCAATGTGATGCAGAAGGTAGTCCATGGTAGGCAGAACGTCAGAGACGGAATTTCCCATGCCCTCGTTGGCCATTGTAGCGTCGTGAAATGGCTCGAGGAATTTGTGAGTCTCGACCAAAGTTACCCAGTCAGAGGGAGTCAGAACATCGTCTTGCAGAGCCGGCTCTTCAGCACAAAATACGGTGATAGCTTGGCGGATTTTAGGCCTGAGGACCCACTCGACCATGCCGTACCACGAATTCCAACGAGTGTCATTGTCGCGCCGCAGCCTTAGACCGTCGGTGAGACTAGTAAACGTTTGAAGCCGCTGGGGTGTCCAAGTGATGTAGACCACGATGTTATGCAGCTTGCCTATCGCCCCTCGCTTTCTCCATTGCTCAACTTCCTTGTTGGACGGCCCGTGGTAGGAATCTGTTGTGGGTGGTCGCTTTCCAATGAGGAACTCCATCACGGCCAGATTAACGATGTGGCCGAAACACCGAAGCCGGTGAGGAAGAGGATCGTAGAAGACATCGAACTCGTGTTCCAAGTCGTCCGATACTTTGTCGATCATGGTGTTCATGTTGGTGGCATTATCCATCATGAAGTATCCAACTTTTGACGCTATTCCATATTCTCGTATGAACTCCATGATGGCTTCTGCCATGTTCTCGCCGCTGTGCTGTCCTTCCAGTTCTTTGATCCCCACCACCAGGGACTGCAGGCCATGGTCTTCGGTAACGAATTGAACTGTGAATCCGATTACGCCCAAACAATTTGGCGATGTCCAGTTGTCGGGAACAATATGGATTGAAGAAAGGGCATTCTGTAGAGCTCGCCTTACAAACTCCTTTTTGTTCTCGTAGCCCCATTGTAAGTCATTTTTGACCGTGTCGCCAGTCATCGGGAGGAGATCATCAGCAGCCGGGCGAATATACCGGATAAAGTCGCGAAAGGCCGGCTGCTCAGCATGAGCAAAGGGGAGGCTGCAAGCTACAGTGTAGCGGCAGTACAATTCGCGCAGAGTGGCTTGGTCTAGTGCATCTTCCTCTGCTGTCACCTTGCGTTTCTTGGCGGGGGGTAGGGTTTCATTGGCCAGGAAGGCAGTGATGTCTCCAAGGCGACTTTGCGTCACTTCCCGCCTGGTCTCTTGCCTTCCAGAAATCGTGATATTGTGCTCCTTCCGCAGATGATTGACGATAGCGGTCGACCCTCCAGAGTAATTGTATTTCTTCGCTCTTTTCTTGTCGAAGCAGGGCTGGCAATGCCACCATTTCGTTCCGTTGGAATCGACCCAAGCTACCGGGATACTCTTGCCTTCCTCTCTTCGACAATACTGCCAAATAGGAGACTTTTTTTGTCGGGAGATGCTAAAAGGTGGCGAAGACGATGATGCAAGCGACGTGGTGGCCGCTGTATCACTAATAAGGTCAGAATCATCCAGATGGCTGGTGCTGCCAATAGCACTAGCTGCCTCGGAGTGATCCACGATGGAAGACATGATTCAGTAGAGACGGCACGTAGACAATAAGAGTGGTGATCATGGGAGTCTGGCGGAGCGGAATTGTTAGAGTAGACCAGATTGCTTGTGCACTTTGGTGTCTCGACTTCAATAGTAGTCGGCATGGAGAATCTGTGGTAGACAACGTTCTCTCTTCACCATTCCAGGCACTTGAGAATGGATGACTACAAATACCCAGGCAAGGCCAAGCAGCACGGCCCGAAATCAACCAACCGCTTCCAATCATTGGAATCTGGCCACCTATGCTTCGCAACCGGCTAACTTAGAAGTCCTAGAAATTTTGGTTTGGACCACAGGTTCCAAATCGCTCCTCCTCTGGGAGGTAAACGTGAAACGCGCCACGACTTGGATGCCACCTTTGCTGGCCAATGATCGGCTACTGGGGAGCATCATCCCCTTCAGCGTCAGCGTCACGCGAAAACCTTGGATCGTCGCGCACTGGTCCGCTCGCGCCGGCTTCGCGCTCGTCTCGCGCCAGCCAGGTGTCAGATTACAATTGATTCTTGACCTCGCTTTTCAGTTTGCGCACGTAAGCCGAGCGGCGGGGCCGTGAGTTGAGCATCGCGTGTGGTGGTCCATCCTTCCAGGGCTCTATTGTGGCTGAGACGGACGTCTATGAGTGTAGTGGACTCCTGGCTTCAATAAAAACGATACGGCATGGGAAATGGAGAGTAGACGAAAAGGCTTAAGAGATAAATAGCTTTTAGGCGGACTGAATTTGACTTGAACTGCGCTTTGGGTTGGGACGTAATGTATCACATTGGCGGGGAAAATGGGGGCCACTGTTTGGCATCATGCAGCGTTTGCGACTGCAAAACAAACAACTTGGCGATATATCTCAGATCATGATGGGATTGATACCAGACTGGAGCTCTAAGCAACTCAGTAACTATGATCTGGCTGGTATGAATGTGATTTTCATGGGAGCGACCAGCGTGAGTCTCGGCATCTCAACCATTTCGCTCCATAGGATATGCGAGCCAGCCTACCCTATAGGTGCCGGATAGAGGCTACCTGGCACCTCGCTCATCTGTAATGGCAGGGTTTGTATCTCTTAACTCCACGACTTGGGATTCGCAGCTCAGATAATATGCCCTTCATCGTCTCTCACGCTGTAAATATTCTTCTTGGAAATCAGCCAGATAACCCATTCCAAAGCTATAAAATCAAGTTGCTACTGAACATGTACATGCAGGCAATTCTGGGCTCTTGTTAAGAAGATGGTTTCAGTTACGTGATACCTAAGGTACAATATATAACGCAGTGTAACAATTGTACCTGCTAACATGTCTTAGCACCATCTTGAAAATTTCGCCACGCGCGGTCGACGCGTCCGACGCGTTGGGTCGTGGAGTTCTTGACTGGGTTCTCTGCAGCGGCCTCCAAACCCGGGAAGACGCTGCTTGACGCACGTTAAGTCTTGGGCGCACTAATAGTGAGACTGTTAGTCTGCGTCCCTCGCACTGAACTACTGGTCAGTCTGGTCGAGTTACACTGGACTATCAGTTTGGTCCGAGAGGCCTGCACTGAACCATCGGTGTAGTCCGAGAGACGTCACACTGAACCAATAGTGCATAGACTATTAGTCTGGACTACAGTGTGCACTAATAGTGCTCTTAATGGTCCGCACTATTAGGAGCCCTGGTTCCGAAAGAGCGCCTCGACGGAATCGGCGTCGTCGAGGGTCATCAACCATGGCACGTTCTCTTTGCCGCAGAGCCAGACATGCACCAGCTGGAGCACGTTGACTTTGGGGTCATGTCATCCCGGCAGCTGCAGTCTGCCCGCGATGTTATGGAATGATTCATCGAAGCGGCCCCTGAAATCCCTGCATGGAGACACCTAACCCCCATTCATGCATCCTGTACTATGACGTTTCCTTCTTCGACTTTCCTTTACCCGCATCTCTGCCATCCACTTGTTCGTCATCTGGGCTCCACTCATCTGGATGAAAGTCTGGATTTCTGTAGTGCGCTCGATTCCATACACTATTCTTGAAAGCGTTGGTAGTTACCTGGAATGTCGACTCGGGGAAGCTGTTCTTGCTCTCTTCGTACTCAAGTTGTGCCGGGCTGAAGCGTATGTGATAGCCGGGCGTAGTGCGAAGTGGTGGCATGAGAGACGTTTGAGGGCCAAGACTAGAAGTTGCAATCGTCGAGTGGTTGGGCCCAACAGCTAAAATTGCAGACATAAGGGTCGGGGGCGTACGGGGCTGAGGTGACGGCATGACAGAAGGCGGCGGAAGTGCGGCTTGTGGTGCTAGCGCTGACCATCCCTCGGGGAATGAAGCCATCCACGGGCTGTGCTGTACAGACGAGAATGGTTCTGGAGCCGAGCTCGTCGGAGGGGGCGGAGCGAGGGGCGCGAGTCCTCCCATAGATGGGGCTGCGTCGAGGCCTGGGATCGTGGCTAGAGCGCCAAAGTCAACCGTTGAGGATTGACCGATGTTTGTGTGTGTCCGGTGAACCTCGGTATTGTGGGAGAAGCCGCTGACACGATTAACTTGCACCGAGACTGGGGCAGCAGGAACAGAAACAAGGGGGATAGGCGGAGCCCTGTAGAGGATATCGTAGTGGTCGGGGTGGTAGAGCAGGTAGATTATGGGATCGATATTCGCGAGATCCCTGCCGTTGGCCTCCTTGGGGAAGCGATACTGGTTGACCTGACTGCCAGGGCCGCGGTCAAGGTAGGCGATCTCGAGAACAAAATTGACGGGCATGAGCAGGACGTTGACCAGGGCAACAATACCAAGATGCTCAATCTCGCGGTCGACAAGCTCGATCGACTGACTGCAGTAGCCCTGAATGCCGCCGACAACTTCGGTAAGGAATGGCTCATAGGTGGCAGCATTGGCCTTGAGGTACGTAGCGCCGAGGATGCGGAGGTAGCAAATGATACCACCAGCGAGGCCGTGGTCGTTCCACCGCTCTTGAACCACCGTGTTTGCCAGAGGTGGATTGTTTATATTCTGGGCCACCTCGCGTAGGAGCCCGATCATTTCGTCGGCCCAGTCTTCAAAGTACGTATAGCCACCAACAGTCAATAGCATCTGGTTCATGCCGCAGAGTCGGACGACCTCACCTTCGACCTTGGCCTGGTCGCCTGACTCGATGAGCATCTCGAAGTAGCTGAATCCAATTGCTGAGCGTGGGGTGAGACCATTAGCCACTGAAGATGCGGAGGCGGTAAGGAATGCGCGATTGTTGAGCACGGGCAGATGTCTTGGACCACAGTACAGGAAACGGGAAAAACTGACTTACCCCGCCATCCAGAGTTACCGTCGCCTTGAATGGGTCGATAGTGGGAGTAAGTCTGGGGAAGGGCCTATGGGGTAACCAAGGTCAGTTTTGAAGCCATAGAGGCAAGAATCGAGGCAATGCGTACAATTGTCTTATCCACGTAGACCGGGTCGGCTTTGGCATACTCGTGAGTGATGGCATTGCTCGATGTCTTGTTTCCTACCAAGAGACCCTGAGAAACCGGAGGTCAGGAGTGAGTTCCACGGAGTCCTCGCGTAAAGCTTCAGAATCGTGACGTGCCTCGAGAACAGGCCGGTAATCTTTGACAGCGGCCCGCAGGGTGGCCAAGTCGTGTTGACCTTGAGCCTCCATTTTGGGAGCGACTATGATGTGACGATATGTCTGCTGGTGCCGGTGCGAGGGCTGCTGGTACTGCTAAGGGCAATTGTCTCGGGTTGCGATGGCGGGCGGCGGGGAAGAAGTCGAGGTCGAAGCTGCTGAAGAAGGCAATGGCGACCGTGCGGCAGGAGAAGAGGATGAAGAAAGCTGCTGCCAGGGAACCTGGTGAAGCACATGCGACTGGGGTTGCGGTTGCGATTGCAGTTGCGAACCATACAGAACTCCAGCGCCTCGCCTCCAACCGGCAAGGCAAGGCCAAAGTCCAATTCTGGGGCTAGACCATAAGACACGAAGCAGGAGGAGACGAAGGGTGTGGGTTAATGCTGGAACATGCCTCAAGAAGTGGGAGAGGAAGAGGGACGCGAAGATGGCCAGGCGGGAGTGGAGGAGAGGATGAAGCTGGGGGCTTCACACAAGATGAAGCGTCGGTCGAGAGCCAAGAGACGTCAAAGGCCCAGTCAAAAGTGTCGCAGGAACAGGGAGGGGGTTTCCCTTAGGTGATTGGAGGATGTACTATGTAGCAGTTAGGTATGGGAGGGGACCGAGGGCGAGCGACGATCATTTCCCGCTGGCGACGGGACGGCACGATTTTCGATTCGATTAACGATAACGTGTGGGAGGGGCCGTCTCATTCCCTCTCTTCCTCCCTCTTCCTCTTCCACCTGTTTGGAACAACGAATACTGCAACCTCATCAGTAACAGTGTGTTCATCATCCGGTCATGTTTGCATCCCTTCACGAGAGTTCCAAGGGCCATCGGCAATTTACAAGCATCGTCTATAAACTTGACCCAGAGTCGGCTTGGGACGGTCAAATGCTGAGCGCCAATGCTCTCTAATCATCCACATTTCCTCTCGATCGTAGTGGTTTTCTTGGAAAAGTTGTCTCTCTAGGCGGCTGTAAAGTGTGTGTAAGAACCACCATATATGAACTGAGTGAAACGTGAGAAAACATCGCCATCGGCATCCCAGGTCACGCAGCCTTCTGTATCGCCGTTGACCAAGGATTCAAACGGGGCCGATAAGCGAACTCGAAGCCCTGGATGGATATAGAATAGCTTCGTAGCAAAACATCTGATATCGGACACTTGAAACCGGTGTTGGCGGTGAGCTTGCCTTGAAGGGGCTAAGCGCCTGTCTTATTCGCTTCCTTGGCATATCTCGCCAGCATATCCAAGGGATGACTAGAACACAGTTAGTACACACCTACTTACCAGCGCGTCCGTGCGAGGTTCTTGACCCATCCAGCGGTCGGCAAGTGCCGCTGCTGAATGCCAAGTGTCTAGCTAATTTACTCTAGCAACCTCTGATCTACATTTTCGTCAAGTTGCCAGTTCGCTACGTTCAGGTCTCGAGAATCCTCACCGTGTCTTGCACCCTATGCCAAAGAGCTGCTGACGGCATTCTGTATGAGGGGGGCTCTGTGAATCTCCCATGCATCTCCTTCCAAGGCCGATTCTTATCCTCCGAGATAGCTCGCGTCGTTTGTGGAGAGACATCGCATATGGCCTTGAGCATCCTGTTCGGGTCGTTCGGGACGCAAGGGTGTTATGGCGACCCCGTGGTGAGCGATTTATCCAGCAGCGCTACCCAGCGCCAAAGCTCAGTGAGTATAACACTACCTGTACTCGGAACACGGCTTGTGGACTGTAATGATCAGCGTTCACGTTGCCTGCCCCTTTTTGCTAGCTTCTCGTTATAAAACATGACGGGTTTCAAGACAAGGGACCAATATCCATGTCTGGTGCGATGGAAACCTGAAACCCTGGTCGTCCGGCAGGACCAAGCTGCCGCCAAGGGCAAGCCAAGGGCAAATAGAACCATGCTTCTGGGGAAGATGTCTCTGCTCTCCTGCCATTGGTCGAATTTTCTCCCAAATTACCGCGCTAAAAGTGTCAGACTAGGTTAGCCACAAGCCACAAGCCACTATCACCATTATCCTTTCACCGGGGTTTTATGCATAGTCAGGGTGCTACTCATATTTTGATAAATTGAGTAGCTCTGCTGCGGAGTGTTGTCTTCTTTTCTCAGTTGGCCGCAGGTGACTTGTTTACCAAATAGTGCCCTTGTATTGCCTACGATATCCTGCGTGGTTTCATTTCTTCGTACCGCCGCTATCGCTTTCCCCAAGGTGGAGGGCGACGATGCATCTTTTGGGACGAGGATGGAGAATCGAGGAACACGTCGCGGGAGTGCAGAGCCTGCGGGATCTTATCATCATACGCGACAAAGACAACAATAACGGCAACGGCAGTGGGAATTCGAATAGCCGCAGCTCACAGAATGGACAACCAGGTCCAGATGGGAACCTCACGGCTGCTCCTGGTCGAGCCAAAAAGACAACAGAGGCACCCACATCACCCACGACCGAATCCAAGGCGCCAGATATTCCCTCCAAAACGACCATCTCTCCGAAATCATCCAAGCCGGGTCTGCCTGCTCCCAATCCTACCACTTCGAAGGAAGCATCACAGACAACACTTCCTTCCCCACCGGAACCACTGGTAACAAGCGCTCGCATCGCAAGCACCGAAATTTTGCCTCTGGAAACCACACCTCTGGAAACTACCCAACGGGTCACTGGCCCTACTGCATTCTCGCCTCCCGCATTCTCGGCTTCAGCAGATATAACTACTCAAGATGTAGCTCCTCCGCCTTCTACCACATTGCCTCTGGTGGCTCCGATGGGACCGAGCTCATCAACCTCATCGCTACCCACGTCGACAATAGGGCCCACGTCCACAGACCGGCCACCCAACTCCATCAACTCCATCCCCAATGGTAACAGACAGCTGAGCAGTACAGCCGCAATAGCCATAGGGGTCATAGGTCTTACTCCTATTCAGTTCTGTTTCCCTCTCAGGCCACCTAGGCTAACCCGTTCGCAGTTGGTCTCCCTGTTATCATCGCCCTGATCTTCCTAGCGTGGAAATACCGAAGCTATACGGCCCGGGCCCGGGCCCGGGCCCACATCGTGAGCCGATTCAGAAGGGTGAGAGAGCGAATGCAAAATTCCCAGCGCCATGCCGCACGAAGCGATCCTTCCATGAGCGAGTCACTTCTCGGCAATGAAGCAGATATCGAAACCGGCAGTGACATCGACTACGCGAAGCCCCTGCCGTATTGGGATTCCCATCAGATCGTGACGCTGCCACAAACCACGCCAATGGCCATCGTGAGGCCGCGTCCAGTCCTACACCGATCCGTTAGCCGGTTGATGCGTCCAGAGCGTAATTCCATTCGAAGGGTGAAGGCAGTCGAGAACTCTCTCACTGAGGTTTCTCAACCTCCTCCCGGGTTTGGAGGCGTCCCCGAGCCGATAGCAATTGAACAGGGCAGTGGAGCACTAGGTGGCGATAACAATATACCTCTTTGCCACGTCCAAGGAGTCGCAGAAACAATACGGCCACAGTCTGAAGCGGCCTCAACGACAGCTGACGCGCACAGCGCCACATCTGCTACTTCAAGCCCTACATTCCGGAGTGCGGGTGACCGACGTACAAATCATTCCGGCTGGTCCGAGTGGTTTCTGCACCGCAGGTCCGAGGCTAGGCCGATATTGGCGGTGGTTGAACACAGCAGCAGCGCACCAGCTAGGGACAATATACCCCCATGCTTTGTTCCAGACGTCGCAGAACCGACATGGCTACAGTCGGAGGCGACGTCAAGAGCTGCCGACAGGCAACGGCGCAGTGCTATATCTGCCACTTCAAGTACTACAAGCTGGAGTGCAGGTGACCGATACACAAGTCACTCCGGCTGGTCCGAGTGGTTCCGAAATACCGCGCCCGAGGCCGAGCTCCAACCAGGTATGAGACGATGCAGTAGTGTGAGTAGTATGGGGGGGATGAGCATCGCCAGCAGCGGAGTGCTCTCGCCGGCCTTTAGGAGCTGGCCGATAGCACCGCCCACTCCAACGACGGCGTCCATTGTCGGGCTGACAGCGGAAGGGGGTCAGGAGGTGAGAAATGGAGGGAGTTCCACCGCAACTCAGTCATGTAAACTCGTCGAACTCCACTGGCTCCCTTAAGTCGGTAGAGGTGATTGTTGAAGGTAGTGTTCATTCTGCGAAAGCTTCGATCGTTTGTATGCAGGGTATATACGGAGAAGGGATCGTGCTTGACTAAGTCAGCTTGTGCTGTGACGAATTCAGTCGGTTTTGCAGGCTTGAGTCCTAGTCGCAACGCCGGAGAGTATCCAACGTTTGATGTGTAGTAAAGCCTCTTGTCAAATGTCCCTTAAAAAAAAGAAGTGGGGGACCACCGAGGGCCCACTTGATAACTGGGGCGTCAGCATGGTATATCATGACATGCATTCATCCTACCAAGCCCATCCCATCCTATCCTTTCATCCTCACATACTCATACACACATTCGTCATCCACGAATGCCTGTTCCTCCCTATCCCAACACAACTTGCTGATACGCCACTCCATGACGATCGTACAACCGCGATAGCAACTTCGTCAGTAGCAGTTCAATTCTTGATTTCGATTTTAGCTGCGAAAGACTTTCTATGACGGGTACTTCTTGCACTAACGTTTTTACCCCTCTTTTGCTGCTAAAATTGATGATGTTCCAGATTTTTGTGGCCAACTTAGCTTGCTAAGTTGGTTCGCCACGGAGCTTGCTCCACATGAATCAACGGGTAGAGGAAATATTCTATGAGTCTTCCCCCATAAAGGACAAAAGAATATTCAAAATATAGCTGAGTTTATATTTACTGATACTTGGCCTTTTTTTTCATTGATTGGCATGAAATTGGCCATTTTTGTGGGTTTAGAAATCACACTGGTGAGGAGACCGGCGGAGTTTTCTTTCGACCGCGTTGCCGTGCCCGTCCAGACGCAGCGAGGAAGGGTTTCTATGGGGCTTGTACCCCAGGGCGAAATAAATTCCATTCCATGGGCCGGCAGCGGTGCCAAATGATGCATGCCAGGGTGCCCTCAGGATCCCTTCTCTCACCCCTGTATCCCTGCGGATCGGCGAGTCTATCTCGATCTCGACCACCATCACTTCCGGTTCGTTCGTCTCTACATCACCTCCTCCATCACGCCCACCCCGCTCTGCAGCCGTCCATAAACTCGTACATGCACGAGGCGGAATGTGCCGCTTCGACTTCAAATGACACAGCTGTACGTCCATCTTCACAGACGCCTCAACACGCAATGTGCTGGCGGCGGACGGCCGCATGTTTCTTCGCCAGACTAGGTGTGAAGGCATGTCATAATCACCGCACTGAGGTGACATCGGGAGCTCGGCGCTAGAAAGATGGAGGGTGGACATGGTGCGTCAGTTGGCGAGGACCAGGGGGCCATGACCAGCGGTTGGTAAGAGGTTCACTTGGCCCGTGCTCGGCATTGGTGAGAAGAAGAATCGTTTTGCTTGTCATTTATCAACTTGGATGATGAAAAACGTAGAACACTTGTGATGGCGCTCTGACATACAGAAAGATGAATGAGGTGTAAGAATGGCAATTGTGCTTTGCATACCGACAGAACTTCCCCGTGCTTATGCGGGGAGCATTCTCAGGCTGTGACGACAGGGGTATCATAAAGCCACTCGACCAATTCATGAAGGTTTCAGTTCATCTCTCGGCAGGCCGAAGCCGTGATCTTGCCGTCTCGTCATATGCCCAATATACTTCCGTATGAACTCGTTGTTGCTATCCAGCTTGTCACGCTGTGGCAGCTGGCGGAACATAGTAGAATTCTACGGCTGTCCCATGTTTTGGCGATCCGATAGCTTCTTAGAGGCCGTGGCATAAACGCAGGTGAAGCAAAAAGAAGGCAGATTTGCTTGGTGGCATTTGTCTCTCGCAGGTGTGGCTGTTTAATGAAACGTGCAGACGGACTTCGAGTTTCGCTGATTGGTCATTCTCGCCACTGGGTGGTTTCGCCTCTCGGTTCAACGGGGCGCACCACGGTCTCAACGACCTCCTCGGCCTCCTTGGTAGCAAGTAAGCACGCCACGCTCTGCCTTAGATTCGACCGTTGCTAGCACGACAGAAGTCTCCACGTCTCCCGCCAAGGCGAGGCCGGCGACTCAGAGTCTAGCCCGCTCAATACTTGCCACATACCCCGGAGCAACGATCATCGGGCTTACCTCTTCGCCTAGGAAACGTGATGGGACGAACGATAATTTCACAAGGGCGACCCAGCGCCTTATGCGAAGACGTAACCGAGTGGCCGCTACGATGCCGATGTCTACATTGTAGTGCGCCGAAATCACCGGCACTATGATTACAACTCCACCGACCATCCTTCATTTCCGACTCCTGATATCGAGATTGTAAGGATGCTTAGGGAGATGAAAGGCTGAACTGCCCCTTTTGACTTTGCTCTTGGTTAGTTGTTAATAGCCCTCAGATAAAACACCGGGTGAACGCTCTGGTTTCGACTCGACTACGCTGCTGCGCAAAAAGTGGGTTGCGCGAAAAGTAGGGTAGTTTACTTACCTTTGCAGATAGAACTGAACCGGCATCTATAGCTAGCGAAGGTACTCATATCTCCGGGGATTCTTCAAATGTTGCGGTGAAAGCAGCGAATCCAATAACGAGCAAGTTGCGGATGGAATACATCTTGGGCAGTGTGACGAGGAAAGTGGTTTGCCCATTTCCCCTGGGTCGACTGGGATTTAAACAGTCAAACCGAAGATGTTACTGTTTGCCATGATCTGGAAATACAAACCAGGGGTTTCGGGAATATGCACACACGCTTGCGTTGCACCATAAAAAACACTTCTTCTCCAGAAAATCAAGGCGTTTTTTCCCAGCGTCCTACCACATCATGGGTAGGCAATTCAACAACGTGCCCGAGGACTCATGGCTCGGGTTCCTTAACTTCGACAATACGACAAATGCTGGTGCGACCTGCTGGTGCGACCAGCAGCTCCCTACCCACGACCGTGGAGTCCAACCAAGGACAAGGACAGGCACTGCGGGGTCAGGTCGGCGACGAGTGAGTTTAGAATTGCTTGTCCGTGCCCATATATTGACAAGGCAGACAGGATACAATCACTCGCCTCATTGTGATCGAGACCATGTTGAAATGGATCTATGAAAACGAAATGAAGTTGCTCGAGAAATACACTAGCATCGAACAGAGAATGGACACCATGCCCCAAGAGAAACACCCTACTTGTTCCATGACCTCTTACTTCTTGGCGTCCTTGCCTCCATCCTGGCCAGTGGATGGCTCCTCATACTCTGTCTCCACGACAGTTGGGCAGAAGGGGCTGGTGGCGCATGGCAGACAGCAGTCGTGAACGCTGAGGTCGTATGCACGACAGCAGGCTGGGCAGCAGGCGTTGACCAGGGGAGACTTCTTATCCTTGGCAGCCATTTCCTCCTGAATTGACTGTGGAGTATGATATAAGTTGTCGTCTCTTGTAGAGAGATTGACTGTGGGGTGTTGGTGGTTGCCGGGTTTTGAGATGGAGGGGGACTTACTTTGGAAGCTGAAGAAATGAGGCTGCTGACGTTGCAGAGAAGAGTGCAAGATCTGCTCACTCACAGAGGAGTGGCATGACTGGGTGTCCTTATGTGTGCCGAAGTGGCCGAGTCTCTCAGTGGATGAGAGTGATGTCACAAGGTCTCGAGTCTGCTCGAAAGATAAAGTTGCTTTGCCGAAAAGAGCCTAGACGAATAGGGAGTGTGTATAAAGGGCTCCCTCGACCAGCTTCTTACGAATGGCTGGAGCAGGGGGTACAGGACCGATGACACTATGAGTCAAACAGAGTCTGCTATTGGCGACGAAGATGACACAGACCCAAGCGAGGATGAGGCACACAGGTTCACGGACGTGGCGGATCTAAGCAATTATCTTTGTTGAGTGATCCGTGCGGGAGGACGCATGGGTGGGGCTGATAACATGTGCGTTGTATCGCGTTTCTGTGGTTGAAAGTATCACCTGCTGCTTCAGAGAAATAAGACATTGGTCCGCTCGGTTTCTCATTCTCGGGGTCCACCCCCGGCCGGGAACAGGACCGACAATGGAGCCCTATGGAGACCTGCCAAGGCGTGGCCGCTGACGGTCTAGACCTTGAGGGCGGCCGACAACTTTGAGTGTTGCTGAGATGAGGCCGCTCAGAACTGTGTTCCGTCTGTTCCGTCAGGGGCACGTCTTCGATGATTATAGGGGGTGGTCCCGACCCACTGCAGCACCCACTGCAGCACCCACTGCATCAATGGATGAAGCGGTCATTGATAACTGATGGTTGGTCCCTGAAGGAGTTCGCCCATTGGCGGCTTAGTGGGGGTCTAGAGGTGGTTATGGGATCGTTGGGATGAAACAGCACGCGGCCTGAACACTAAGTGACAAACTGACTACTATCAAGGGCCCAGCAAGGAGGGCTTCTGGAAAAAAATGCCTTGCGAGATAGCCATCGAAGGTTTGGCAGGGAGCCTCGGCGAGGCGCCAATCTCGACCCGTTGCTTGACACGGTAGACTTTTGGCCCACAAACTCGGGCAGCGGGGAGGGAAAGCCGGAGCCGCAGAGATAAAAGGGGGAATTAATTATCATCAGTCAATGGCGAGGGGGTGTGAGGGTGTGAGTGCGAAAGCTGGAGATGAGTGGGCTGTCCGTCTGTATCACCAGACGTTAGGGTGCATTAGTTTAAACGGTCGCGAGAGGCAGCAAAATCGAGAACGGATCGAGATGGCAACTGAGACACTGGACGAGACAAAGATCAAACAAGGCCGTCTGTCACGGTTGTCAATCAGGTCCCTAGAAAACCCCACAGCTCACCCTGCCCATCGGTACCACCAGCTCAGCCAGGGGACGATCCATCCCAGACGGCCGGACGATCAGAGGTTGATGAGTCACAGGGGACCGGTGATGGAAGGGGGACATCGCACGTGGGATGCGCAAGAGAAGACACGCCAGCGACGTCAGTCGTTTTCCAGATGGGGATGTAATAAGCGCCTTCGCGCTGGAACAGAGATAAGATGTCCGGACCTTGGCAGCAGCGTGCGAGCCCGTGATGTGTGATTGCATCATTATCGCGCGCAGCGGCCTTGGGGACAGACGAGATGACCACGTCCTGTTCTGATCAATATGGACAGATATGGCATACAGGATTCTGCCGGCTGATGCAACGCCGTTGCAGAAATCGATGCCAGCGGAACGGAATCCGCGACAACTTGGAACAGCATCACTCATTGGTGGCGATGCATGGCTGATCGAGATCGCGCTCCTCTCTGATGGGACGGAGCCAAGAGATGTCGTGCGTCTACGTCAACCCAAAACCGGCTTCTGTAGCAACAGGATTCCCTCGGGACGGGATCTAGCCATCATGTCATGTCATTTCATTTCATGTCTTGTCATCGACGAGAATTGGAATGCACGAAGAATATCGGAGCGGGCTAAAGTTGCCTAAGACCACGTAGGTTACCTTCCAACTTACAGCTTTCCACGAGGTTTATTCGGGATACACCAACGTCGCAGCATCGCACCAAACCGGTCAAGGGGGCATTCCGTAATAAACACACACAGCCTCTTCCTCTTCGTAGGGGAAACCATGGATAATCAACAACACATCGACAGTGAGTTGTCGAGCAACAAGCTTCCACAGTAACAAATCGAGGGTCAGGGATCCAGATGTCACGCCCCCCAAAGCTAATCACTGTACTTCCTACGGATACTTTGTAGGTGTGAGTCGGCCTCCCCCTTCTCCGCCCTCTCCCTCGCCTAGATGCATGCGAGCCTGGGCAAGCCATCATCCCCATCCCCATTCCCCAATTCTCCCAATCCCAAGCCTGGGCGGCGTCCGCTGGGCTTGCTTTGGCCTGGCCTTAAGACAGACGACCGCTGCCGATCCATACTCCACGCCGCGCGCTGCTTCTTAACGCTTCCTTGCTCATCATTGATCTAGCTCGAGCCTAGCCCCAAGACGAGACACGCTACGTTTTTCTTCTTTTACTTCGCTCCCCTTTTCCAAAATGCCTCCATGCTTATTACTTTTAACCAACACGATCCCGTCCCAATACCAAAAAATCTCACAACTCTGCCCTCCGCTTCTCGAAATTACACCCCCGTCTAAGGACCCCAGACCAGGACCCCAGACCAGGGCCCTTCAATCTTCCATCGTGGGAAATCCGCCTTTGGCCCTGTGCTTCTGCAACCAACCGGACTAAGCCTCAGCCACCTGCAGAGCCGTACTGCTCCTCGCCCTGTTCAATTTACCACCCAACCCATCCCGCTGGTCACTTATATCCAAGTCAGCCAGCGCATCCCCTATCCCCTGGCGTGGGAGGATATCTATATTACATCACCATGCCCTCCTCCAGCCGACCTTCTAGCCAGCACTACGGCTCTTCGTCTTCCCCTTTGTCTTCCTCTTCCGCCTCTGACTCAGACATCGCATCCGACTCTGCCTCTGCCACCGGCTACAGACACAGCATGGACTCAGTACAACTCCCCATCGCCTCCGTCGAGGTGCTTCGCTGCATGCGATGCGCCCGCTCCGTCGAGGCCACCTCCACCGACGATATTAGCTCCATGGGCATGGTCCGCATAGCCCACAACCTCTACTACTGCGAGCGTTGCGCCAAGATGGTGGGATACAAATAAAGAGGTGGCTCCGGTGGCCCCGTCTTTGATGAAGCTGATGAGACCTACACCTTCTCATGATGCTTGAAGCAGGCATCGCAGCAGCAAACCACTCCATCCTCGACTACGCCTGGCAACAAGCACCCCTGCGGCACATGGCCATACTACCATGACTGGACCATGCAGCCCCGACGAAACTTACCCAACTCCCATGGATTGGAAGCAAGACATCGGCCGTATGGATGCTCGCCTGGGAGATTCTCAGGCACCCGGGTAATTGGGTGCGCGGCATGTCCGGGATCTAGGGCGTCGTCAGCATCCGGATCAAACACCAGACTGCCCTCTTTTGGACGGATACAAGACGGAAATCACTGGCCTACGCAACACAGCACCACAGCCCCAACGTTCCAATATGGGAATCCTCGAATGGATCACCGGATTGGGGATTTCCCCAGCATCACAACCCACTACCCTTTTTTTTCTTTCTCGCCTTTACCTTCCTTCCTTCGATATTGGATGCACCCTGCTTATTCCCAGCAGACTCCTCGGAAACCTTGTGGGGGCTGTGCATCACCAACTACATGGCCTGGTCTGGTGCCTGGTACGGGCTTGGCTCCAATCACGCCCATTGGTGGCCTCGGACAGTTTGAATCTAAATCATTATTTTCTATCTGCATTCTCTCGACCGGTGCGTTGGGACCCGTCTCGCAGTCCCATGTCCTTCCGCCCCGTGTGTCGACGCCTGATCCGATCAGATCATGACGACGCCGTACCCGGCATGAGCCGCCGCATCTCATTGTCGCCGCCGCCAGGATCAGGGATTTTTCGCTCAACCCCCCGTCTGCCGCCCGGGTTTGCATGGATTGCATGGAGAACGCGCGCGCTGCAGTATTACACTACGCATGTTCCGGGGGGTTGACTCGCGGAAAGCGCTGGACCGAGGGTGGACACTACCGTGTTTGTTACTGTTGGTGAGAAAAAAGAAGGCGAGGATCCCAACAATTGGGCACCTGATGTCGTGTCTCATCATTTTCCAAGTTAGCAAGAAGTCAGTAATGGTTCCGTGTCGATCGGGGTGGGGGGGACAAGAGAAGAGTAACTGCGTCGCAACAAGCACAACGATGGAGTGACGTCATAAATGGCACTTTTTGCGGGGTATTATTCTACAATCAGTGGAAGCCCGTCCTCTCCACCTTAGCACTCAGTCATCTTCACATGCCAACAACTCCCGGATATCAGGGATTTAAGGAAGCCCTTACCAGGGGTGAAAGGTGCTGGACCGTTCAGCGAAGCTCCCCACATCTTTCGTTTCGGCTTTCCATTTCTTGTAGGCCCGGGTTGGAATTGTTTGGTCTAAGTTTTCGACTGAAAGAGGCCTCTGACAGCCTCTAGATCCTCCGGATGGACGCCCATCCGTTCGCGTTCCAGTCGCCTTAATAAATACCTGTGGTCTCTGTTAATTGTCGAGTGGGGAAAAAAACGAGTGAGCCCATTGACGTGCGAGGAGAAACAAACCAAGGAAAGAATACTATTAGAGCTATGACGAACTCAGCGCCGAACAAGATAAGCAACGAAAGATATGCCAGCTGTGCAGGTGAGACTCCCTCGTCCGAAGCAGTGGTGTTGGTGCTCGTGTTGACAGTCCAATTATCGATAAGGTCTCCATGGTCCATTGAATCTGGACTGTTGTCTTGGCATTTCCGTTATGCAACGTGGAAGCCGATTGAGAATTCCGCAGCGCCCGCTTTATGTTCCGTGAGCATCGGACAGATGCGGCCGGCAGTGGACTGACATTTCCAGTTCCTCACCAGGCCTAGTCGTAGCGTCGATAAGCCAATAGCAACCCTGGAGCTGACATTGCCATGACGTCGAGCAGACGTCTCCATCGCGGACACGTTCAGTGAGTGCACTCACCCTTCCTCTCCCCACACGTGGTGGCAAAGTTACAACACCATTCTTCCCCTTCTCCAAACGACACGGGGCTACCCGTTGGTACGGAAGGCCACAAGGGGCAGAGTTCCAAAATTCAATTTTGAAGATTTTTGAATTGGGTCACCCCCCCCCTTTCCCCCGGGCGGACCCCCGTACGGCCCCGTTTGTAGGATTATTTTACCTTGCATGTGCTTAGTCATTCATCTAAATCACTGTTCGCGCGGCGTAAATCTCTTCTACCTAACCACGCAGCACCAGTTGACGATCCTTCCTCCCCTCGCTGGCCCAATTCGATTCCGTACGCACACTTTCTCACGCAATACGGCTTGGTACACATCATCATGGCGCCCCGAGGCAACCGCAACCGCCCCAAGACCAAGGAGACCCCTGCTGCTGCTGATACGGCTGCGATCGACGCCCTACGCGAGGATATGGGCGAGCGCGCATTCAACCTGCTGCCCAAGAAGGTCCTTGACGTTGAGACCTATACTTTCGCGTACAAGACCGATAAGCCCGATACAAATCCGGAGGCCACCATCTGGGCTCTGATGAACGCTTTGAAGGGCAGCACCACCAAGGGCCAGGAAGCTGTTGACTCTACCAAGGTATGTCCTTTATCTTAGGCCTGTACTAGCCTGGTTGATCACGTACTAACCCGTATTAGACCCCACGCCTGCTGGAGATCCGCAGCAAGAAGGACAAGAAGAAGCTCCAGGAGACCCCGTACGTGATGAACTTCAGCAGCGGCCAGAATTGCGACGCTATGCTGCGTCATCTGTACGGCGACGAACGGGAGGGTACGGACCGTTGCTACAAGTGTACGAAGAACAACGGGGCCCTCAAGGGATGCATTGTCGCTGAGGGGACCCCGGCCTGCGCTAATTGCGACTGGAACCGATCTGGCGCCGCCTGCTCCTTCACGAGTAAGTACGCTGCAATACGTTCTCATTTTCTATACTGATTGGCCACAAGAGCGTGGTACCAAGCGCAAGGTTAGCGACGACGACGACGACGACGATTCCGACAGTGATGATACGGACCCGTTCGAAGACCTTGACCTCAAGACCTGCCAGAAGCTTGTGCAGATCTTCAAGGCAGCTACCAACCGCAAGAAGCACAAGAAAGGCACCTCTTCGAAGTCGGCTTAAGGTATTTGACCCAATACGTAAATGTACGAGCCTCTACTAACTCTTTTTTTTTTTTTTTACCCGTAGTCCGCCTAGTCACTTCGCTCTGAGTTGAATTTTTTTTTTTTTTGATTTACGAGGAAACGCAGAATACATTCGCGTATATTAGCGCACGAGGACGTACGGTGAACTATGATACCCTTTTCTTAGCTAGAGTCTGAAATCAAGTTTTCTTTGATCATGCTTTGTGTTTCACTTATGACATTTTGTTCAAAATCTTGTGGGTCTGACCAAGTGAGGCTAAACATATTATGCATGAGGCAATTTGGCGCCATACGATCACAAACGTAACAAACCCCCTTTTTCAAAATTAAATCGCGCAATCTCAACTCAGACTTCCTCTCTTTCCCTACGCCTACACTTGACTACGTACGGCAACATACGGTTCAAGATGCCTAGGGGTCGCCCTTCAATTGATATATCCCCATTTCGCCTTCAGATTCAACAATGGAAAAACGACGACGGTCTCACGCTCAAACAAATCGTACAGCGCCTTAATAACGAATTCCACATCGAAGTTCAACGTACGACTGTATATCGCAACCTGAAGATCTGGAATGCTTCCATGAGGCAGTATACCGAAGACTCTGAACAACTACGTGAGCGTATTAAAGACCTATTCTTTGATAAGGTCTTGAACGATCACTTTATGCTTCTGCAGCTTCACTCTGAGGGCTTTCTGATCTCAAAGACTGGCCTCTCACGGATACGGCGAGACCTAGGCCTTTGGCGGCGTCAAACCCCTGAGATGACTAGCGAGAGACTTCACGAATTGCGCCGTTTCTTTGAAGACGAGTCCGAATTACACACTAAGCTTGAGACCTACGGGCGCACACTACTCTACGTATATGTCCGTCGAAATCATCATATCTTGAGCCGCCGAGCCCTGTACTCATGCTTTCGCGACTTTTCCCCTACTTGTGTTACCGAACGGTGGAATACGATGCGATATCGCCGAACTGGATGGACTTCTCCAGGCCCCGACTTTATTTGGTCCCTTGATGCGTACGATAAATTGAAGGCCTGGGGCTTTGAGATCTATGCCTCCATTGACGCTTACTCACGGTTTATTACGTGGTTCTACGTGGGCATATCCTCTAGTACGTCACGAAGCGTTGTTGCACAGTATCTCGATGTTCTCTCGCAGCGGAAAACCATGCCAAATATCATCCGTTCCGACCGCGGCCAAGAGACAATCCTTATGGCTGGAGCACATTATTACCTTTCGAAGACCCGCGTACGCGCACGGGAAGGTATCCCACAAGATGTGCGCTTTCGAGACTGCTGGATCTATGGCAAAAGCACGCATAACGAAAAGATTGAGAGCTGGTGGCTTCGATTGAGTAGGGGTAGGGCTAAATTCTGGCGGGTATGTAGTATTATCACTCCGTTCGACCCTATGCTAACCTGAATCTAGGAGTATTTTGGTGAAATTACCGCACTTGGCCATTTCTCGAACGACTCCCTACCCGACCGTATTGCAATGCTCTATCTCTTCATGCCGATCCTGCGGGCTGAGTTTGCCGACTTCGTACTTACGTGGAATTCGCACTACATTCGCAAACAACGCAATAGGCCGCATGTGGTTCCTGGGCAGCCATGGACCCTCTACTTTCAGCCTACCGCACGGCAGGTTGAGAGCTTTGCAGAGGTTATCCCTCAAGATCGATTACAAACGCTCCAAGATATCTTCGACGGGGACCGTATTGATCTTGATGCCTACTTGCCAGAAGATACAATAGCTATCTGTGATCGCATTCTTAGAGGCCAGGAAGATCTGCCAAGAGATCCGCCACAGCAACCTAAGCTTTCAGCGTATCTATTCCTACGAGATCGTTTACGGCAGTACATTAGGAGTAAGCAGCAGCCAGAGCTGGCATTATTGGAGACGCCTACGGGTGG